GTTCTTCTAGAAGCCACATTGAATGCTGGAAACCCTGGTCCTCTAAAAGCATTACTGGCGGCATCTCCCTAAAGCATCACATACATTTTAGAATATCTGTCTCATAGCTCCAAAGTTTTCACAGAAAACCGAAGAAGGCAAAACTGACTAAAGAAAAATGACTCCCTTATATAATGCCAATACACGCTGAACTGTAAAAGTCTGCTAAAGCCACAGATCCTCAGGCAGAGCAGGGGCTCCTCCTGTTTACAGTCGGAACAGTTCATAGCTAGTGAGCATTGGTGGAAAGTGCACTCCACAGTGAACAGCGTTTCACAGCGGAAAGGGCACAGTGCAGAATATTTTTATAACTGGGGAGTATTAGTGGGGAGTGTGCACATAGCTGGTAAACATCAATAGGAAGTACACTTTAATTGGCAAAGGGTTAATCCAAAACTGTCATGTACACACAAAATATCTAAAGACAGAAAAAAAAAACCCACAAAAGCAAAAATAAGTTAGGGTTAGGGTTACAATTTTATGATTTTTTTTAGCACTCATATTTTAAAGCTTTTAGTCCCAGAGTCAGTTATGAAAACAGCAAATTGGATGAAAAGCTTACAGATCTTCAAACAGATGCAATTTTTATTTAATGTTTTCTCACACAATATATTTTGATCATATTTCTCCTCCTGCATCTCCTTCCAGATCCTCCCCATCTCCTACCCATCAAACTTCATATTATTTTCCTTCTTCTTCTCCAAGAATAAAACAAAACATGACAATCAATCAAGCAAAAACCTAATAGACAAAAAATTACCAATAAAAAAAGAATGAAACAAAAACAACAAAACCAAGCGATCCATTTGTGTCAGCCAGCTGCTCCAGAGCCTGGCCTGACCTGGACCCAGTGTCTCTCTAGGAGAGATGCTGATTTTCCTGTTCTCTCCAGGCCACAACTGCAAACAGTTTCTAGGTTAGGGATAGGGCTTTTGTCCACCTTCCTCTCTCTGTGCTGGGTTTTTGTCTGGTTTGAAACTGTACCAATCTTGTGAATGCTGCCAAGGTCTCTATAAGTACATATGTTTATCAGTCCTGTTGAAAACTGTACATTTTTATGATATACTTTTATAAGAAAAGTGTTCAGAACACTGTGCTCCAAGCATGACGGCAAAGCCTCTTCCAAAAACTTCCCCACGATGTGCTGAGTAAATAATCATGTCTTACTTCATGAACGAAGGCAGGTTAGGAAGCAAGGGTGGTCAGCTGGTGGCAGCAATGATGACCCACAGGGCAGGTTTTCATATTCACTTCAGAGTTGAGTGGAATACTGACCGTGGTATTTATCCCTGGGGCATCAGCAGGCTCTTTATTCCTCCTACTCCCAGTTTCTTAGAGCATGATAATAATTCCATTTACAATTATATGTGGCTTTGAAGCCCAGGACAGTGAACTCAGGAGCACGCTTAATACCAGCTGGTATATGTAATGGTCCATTTTGACTGTCTATTGAACTGGGCTAATAAGCACGCAGATTAGTGTGCCAATAAGAGCAGTTCTAGAGACAGCAAGATTATGTGGGTCCTGCCCTAACAAATGCATTAATCTTCCATGGATTGTCATGGTAATGTCATTACTGAGAAGTGGTAAAGGGTAGGAGGAAGGCCTAATTGGGACAAGGATGTCACTGGGGTTTATCCCTACAGCTACATCTCTTCCTGTATATCATTTATTTATTTATTTATTTATTTATTTATATCTCTTTTTGTATTTTCCTTTTCTCTCCTAGGCACCTTGGTAAGGACTACTCTGCTTCTCTGTCTACTCACTGTCCTGCGCCAACTCCTCTGAAATCAAAAGTATATATAACAGATTTTTAACACTTCCTCACCCTTGCATGCACCATAATAAGTTTCTCTGCTGATGCAGTATGCCAGATCAAGTCAAATTGAAAGAAATATAACAGCAGGTATATTTAGGGCAAAGCAACTCATGGGTGGGTTGACTGGCCTCAGAGATCAAGGCCAGAGAAGTTGTGCCTGGATTAAGGCGGGAAGATTTTCTAGATTGTAGGTGAGGGGTGATGACATGCTCCCACAAGCTGGTTTTGTGCCCAAGTATGGTTAAAAGCTAAGTGCTTAGGTGGGGACTTGGGCACCTGGCAGTGTCAAGGGAGGAAGTTGCAATAGCTGCCAAGAATGTGCAACTGGATTTTTGCAGCACATTATTTTCTTTGGAGACTCTCTGAGCAGGCGGGGTTAGAGAGAGTGATATATATGGAGGGAGGGATGGAGGGATGGAGGGGGGGACTGGGGCTCCCCAGACCATGCAGGGGCCAGCTGAAGGCTCCCCCAGAACAGCATACATCCTCGGAGAAGTTCCCTTTGTATTAGGGTCACAGTGGTGAAAAGCGAATGACATAAATGACAGCTTGGGCTCAGCTCAGGTAGAACTCTGACTAAGCAGAAGGATTGCTGTCAGGTGAATAGAAGCCTAAACTCAGCATTCGTAGAAACCTTGTGAAGCTAGGTCTTATTTGTCAAGAAAGTAACAGCTTCCCTTATGCACAGGCAACATTCTCGGCCAGTTCGAGCTTTCCCGTGCTATCCCCCCAGGATCTTTCCTGTTGCTCTAACTCACAGGCTGTCCCAGCTCATCTACTCCTCCTCCCACCCTTTCCTACTCCCACAAGCTGCTTAGACTCTCCCTGCTGCCAGTTGCACAATCCCCACAACCCCAGGCTGGCAGTTTGAATCCCCAGATAAACTGCCTATCTACTCACGGAGTGAGTGGTCTAGTTCTTGGTTCTTGCATCCTCATTTATATCCTGCAGATAAAACAGTATCCAGCAGGAGCCTGCAAAGATCCTGGAGGTCAAGGCCGTGATGGTCGGAAGTGTACACTAGGCTTCCTTATTTCTGGAAGTGCAGGCAAGTGTCTATGGAAAAAACCAGGGATTTGGGTGGGTTTCCTTAAAACACTGTGGAGAAGACAGGCTGTGGTGGCACGTGTCTTTAATCCCAGTACTCATGAGGCAGACACAGGTGGATCTCTGTGAGTTTGAAGTCAGCCTGGTCTACAAGGGCTAGTTACAGCACAGGCTCTAGAAGCTACAGAGAAATCCTTTCTCTGAAATCAAAAAACAAACAAACAAATAAACAAAAACAAAAACACACTAGGAGGAAGCTTTATTAACTTTTCAAGTAGATGAAAGGCTGAATCTGGGATGCAGTTTTCCCCAGTTTTAGAGTCTTGGGCAAGTCAGTAACTTATTCAAGAACGAGCCATCTCATTGTTTTCATTGGGTATGGTGATCTGGCTCCACAAACTTGAGAATTTTCTGTGTACACAAAGCACCATTGACTGTGAATGACAGTAGGGACAGCTATTAGCAAGTTCAATCTGTCGTCCACTGGAGAGCTAACGGAAACAGAAGGCACTTCTTGCAGACCACAATGAAGTGGGTGCAATGTGTGAAAAGACACACAGAAAACATTAGCAGTGAAATCCGTATGTGCTGGAACAAGTTAAGTTCTAAAACCATCCATCCCTTTCTCTTCACAAAGGATTTGGGATACAGTAGAAGGATGTGAGTCACAGTTCTAACAACCCCAGGATTTCTCTATGGAATGGTGATAGGCAATGTCTTTATTTGATTTTACATCGTACTGCACCCAAAATATACTGAACATAGCTGTGTTGCTCTGGTGCCAGAAATATTTGTGTTGCTAAACAAATTATCTCCAGTGGAAATCTGAATCCATTATCCTCTGTTTCTTCGGTCTCCAGGGGAAAACTGAGGGATGGAAGAGGAGGGAGGCTTCATGACTGTGATGTATGCACATTATAGCTGAACCACACCATGCCTTGAAATTCAGCCTTTCTTTGCATAGCAAAAGCTGCTCCTGGGAATTAGAATCACAAGGCCAGGAGCTTTACACTGGGAATTCCTGTCCCTCTTTCCTAGACTTTTTGCCTTCAGGCACCTGGATTCTTGCACAGCCTCTGCTTCTGGTGAATGTCTCCCTCTAAGGTCTGTACGTGTGGTTCCTCTGCTTGCCCTGTCTCTTTACCAAGCTGTCTCAACTCATCTGGGACACTTACATGTTATAAAACCTATGATTTGTCCCATTGCTCTCACTGACCCGCACTGAAGACCTCAGAGAAAGGGACTCTTTTCAGCGGGTTCTCATCAGAAATCAGTGGTAAGAAAGGATGGATTTTGCACATTATTCCTTCCTACGTTTCAGTAGGATTAAGACATAAAATGTTCTGACAAATTCATGTCATGAACTGTAGATACCACTTTCTGATAGGCAGTCCCAACCAGCGTAGGATGTCAGAGATCCTCAATGGTGAAACTAAGATTCGGAGTGAGCTGCTCTGCATCCTATTAGCTGCTTTCCCGGAACACATCATGGGAGCAGCTCCAGTGACTAGAAGTATGGGGTGCCCTGGTAAAGCAAACCCAAGTTGAACCCAGCTGCCCCTGGGATCCAGACTTCCCTTCAGGTAGTTGGACTTCACTGTGTGAATTTTACATTACCTGTGAGGGAGAGCCAGTTCTAAGAGATGTGGATGGAAGTCTGCCCAAAACCTCAAAAATAGAAAGTATTGATGACTTGGATAGGAACACAAAAGCATAATAGGTACTCTGGAATTATCCACATGGTTTTCAACCTAGCATAATTCAAGCTATATTCACAACCTCCAGCAGTTCGTTATCAGGCAAGGACTCCTGGGGTCCTGCTCCTTAGACATGGATGAAGTTCCTTCTAGTTCCAGCAGAGGTGCCTTGTGTCACGGTCACACCTCATCCTGGAGATACGTGCCACACCAAGGTGCTAACCAATAGTCAAGCAGCCAAAAATCCTCTCCACTTGAGGGCAAAATGTTAAGCCAGAATTGCTCTGGTTGAAGAAGGCTTTTGACAGTATCAGGAGCTGTAGGTCTTAAGGACAATGACATCTGTCCTCATAAACTAGCCCAAGAAATATCACAGCAAAATTCATTATCAACTTTATTTCTAACCATACACCAAATGTACAGCACTTAACACAATTTTGTTGCATTGATGTAAGAAATAGTAATTGTTTGGAGAAACAGTATACAAACAAACTACTTCAAATAAAAACGCATACATCATTGCCCATTTTGTTTACAAAAGATCCAATTTACAGTATCAGTCATTAACACAGTTGAAATGGAAACAACTCAGTGCATGTTACAAAACGCAAGTACCAAGGCGGCAAATAAATACAGACACCCTTCATAAAACTATGTGAACACAAATAAATTAACTGAGATCATGTAAATTATAGTAATAAATACATAGGTTTGCAAGAGATCTCTTTAAATAAAATATATAACAAATATGTTAAAATATTTAGCAAAGTAAACTTCTGTCTTTGTAATAAGTGAGCCCATTTGTGTGCTTCTTTGAAGTACTGTGTAGCAAAACGCTCAGAGATATACTTCAATAGGAAACTTTGTGTCCCGTTTTCAGTAGACACCACTCATGGCGGCTGCTTCTTTTGAACTGAGTTTTAAATAAACACCTTTCCCTACCTAAGGACAGACATCTCATTTTCACTAAACTAAGATTCAAGAGTTCAAATGAACCCCAAACCAAAGATAAGCCCCACCTGATGCATAACAGGAACCACAGATCCGTGAGAGCGGAGCGAGCGACTGGACCACTTTTCATGTATCGGAGCAGGTAACAGTAACAGTGAATTCAAGCCTGTGAATGCCATCGCACTAAATCTAAGTATTCATGAGGCTAAAAAAAATAAACACTTTTATTATAGCACAGAAAATTAAGCTCACACTAAAGTTCATGTGTGCATTTACACAGAGGCACATCTGCACATGAAATGTGTGTGCACACCAAAAAGGCAGTTTAGCTGGTTGTCTATACCGTTTCATTAAAAAAAATAAATATAAAAAAACTTTTGAAACAATGCTTAAACTACTTTACAGTCCCTGAAATAGACATTGCCTTTTCTACAGCAATTACTAAACTCTGATCCAGTTGAGATTGTAGACTCAATTTCATGTGTGGATAAGTGTTTGTGACTGTGTGTGTATGCGTGTGTATGTGTGTGTGTGTGTATGCGTGTGTGTGTGTGTGTATGCGTGTGTATGTGTGTGTGTGTGTGTGTGTGTAGTTCAAGGATTATATCAAATTGAAAGTTGTCTTATTATGGGCAGTGCAGACCAATGTTGCCAATATTCATATTGGAATAATACTTTTTCCTGTCTTATTATGTTTTCCACTCTTTTCCAGTCAACCTAGTAGGATACATGCTATTTCAGGGGATATGTTATCTACAAAATTTCCATTTGTATGTGTCTGTATTTGCTAAGTAAAATTCTATACCAATATTGTCACTTGTAATATTGTACTAACATATAGCAGGAGAAGCTTGACTGGTCACATCAAAGCTTATTTCTCATCTTGGGGAAGGGTTGCCAACTAGCCAATGTGACTGACTTGAAAAAAAAAGAGACATATCTGATTCACTTAAAATCTATGATTTGAACAGCTCAAATAAATAATTCATATTAATTAAATCCGTGCAGCCACGTGGAATGCCTTGCTGACTATTTTATTTAATTATTGCTATCAAGTTTTGAGCATGCTGTTTGCCAGCATCCTGTGCTTTTATGAACATGGATTTCCCACTAGTGGGCGCCATTTATCTTCATATTCCTTTGCAGCTCACATTATCAAAAACCAATATAGGGGGGAAAAGAAGTGCACAGTAGAAACCAAAATTGACCATAGTGCAATCATGACACCGGGATTTCCTTCACATCTTCCTTTTTTGTTGTTTTTTTTTTCTCATTTAAACTCAGAAAGATGTGTGATTTGAGAATAGGATTTCTATTTAAATCCTATTAGAAGACAAATTAATAAACACACCTGTAAAAATATGGTAGACTCCAAAATGTAGTTAAAAGATAAAAAACTCTTTGATTAGTAATAAATAAAATATAAAATGTAACATTTATTTTACATATACTTTACAAAATAAAGAGTGCAATGAAGAAATAAAAGAAAAAGATATGAAAATAAATGAGATCTAATAATTCACTGCATTGCTTTTAATCCAAAGAGTTTATCATAGTTTTTCTTTCCTTTTTATGTCAGCCAGGGAAAAATTAGTGCAATGTTGCAATTGTAAACGCAGGGGGCGGCCTCCAGGCTCCAGGGGTGCAAGGTCCCCTATGGATCTGCTAGAGTTCCCTGCTGTGGTGACCTCTGTTTCCTGCGAGCTGCCCTCCTACACATGGATGCCCTTCACCGCCTGCTTGATGCTTTCCAGTAGAGCTTTGCATTCCGGAGAGTAGTCTCGTTCCAGATTGCTGTACATGTCTGTGAGAGTATTTACATAGGCTTCAAAATTCTGCTCATTGATAGGCCCCTGATGGAGACAAAGCACATAGAACCAATCACATAAGGTCAGCTGCCCCCGGGAAGATCAGGGGACAGGGAAGAATGTTGTCAACTTATATAATGAGGAAGAGAAGGGTTTACTGTGGCAGTTTGGGATAGGAATCTAAATGTTAGTGTTCGTAGGGTTTATCTGTTCACTCTTCATTCATGGCTTTAATGAAACTTGATTGAATGACATTGAGGATCAATCTGGACCTGAGGTAGAAGTCTTCAAACAACATGCTTTCTCTGGGAGGAGTCTTGGCCTCAACTGTACTTGCTCAGTACAAAAATGACATCTGTGGAAGGTGTGTACAGGGCTTGTGCCAAGTGGTTCTTTAACAGTTTTAGGTTGGAATGGCAGGGATTAAGCCAGTTGCTCACCAACAGTTGTGATAAAGATTTGCTAATACAACAACTCTGGTCATTTGCCCTCTCTATTTCTTTAGGGAGAAGATCTGTGTTAGAAGGTCCAGACTGACTCATCTTTACCCTGGGTGGTATTTTGGCATATCCTTTGCCCTATATAATGGTTTTATTTTTCTGTTTATTTGTTTTTATTTTGTGAGACAGGGTCTTATTTTGTTATCTTGGCTGGCATAGAACTCTCTATGTAGACCAGGCTGACCTTAAACGTCCCAGAGACCTACCTGCTTCTGCCTCTCAAGTTCTAGGATTAAAGGGGAGTGCCACCATGCTGGGCCACACACACACACACACACACACACACACACACACACACACTCAAAAACAATGTATATGGATGCTTTGAATGTATATTTGTGCACTACATATATACTTTATGCATGTGGCAGCCAGATGAGGGTATCTCATACCCTGGAACTGGAGTTCCAGACATTTCTGAACCACTAGTTCAGAGTTCGGAATTGAACCTGTGTCCTCTGGACATCGTCCAGTGTTCTTAACTGCTGAGCTTTCACTCTGGACCCATAATATGTTTTAAAGTAGGTGCATACTACCTGTGTGTAAACCACATGCAAAAGAGGCAGGACACGCAGGACAAAAGGGAAAACTCTCCAGCCATATGTGGTCACTCCATGTCCCCACATTTCTGAAAACCCTTGGTAAGTGCCATGTTACATTACAAGGTCCTTGGAAGGAAGGACTTAAACATGAGTGAACAGCTCGAGTGTTCAGACAATGACTATGGTCGCTACTGTTTAGAAGATCTGAAGATGAGCTGGCATGCCCAGCAGAGCTGTGATCTGGACTATGTGCACTGTCTAGTTGTGGCTATTCTGTTTTGGTGTCTACCTCTGCTGGGCATGTATTTCCTATAGAATCATGGACTGGGGCAATGATTCTGGTGGCCACATCAGGAAGCTCATTGTCACACGCCCTCCTGGCTCATGCCAACTTTGAGTTATGACCCAAGAATGGAATAATCTCCTTGACAGAATCCACATCAGGAAGCTCATTGTCACACACCCTCCTGGCTCATGCCAACTTTGAGTTGTGTCTCCTTGACAGAATCCAAAGTTAAAGAACTGGTGTTTTTCTGTTTTTTAATTGAGCAATTTAGTATTTTGTACAAAACCCAAATATTTTGATTTCATTGCTGCTGCTTTAAGTCCTCTTACATGTAAGCCATCAGTTTTGATCTGAGAATATATATTCTGAGGAAATTAGCGACATATTGATGAATAGCCCCTCAACAATGCAGCGCTAACTCCAAAGACTGGTTTATATTTATAAAAATGTAGAATACACTTTTTGTGAATTCTAAATAGTTGCATGCTTAGACTTTTGAAATAAGGGTGCCTCAATCACACCCATACTTTCTATGCTCCATGAAGAGAGTTGAACATTATGGGGAGTTTATTAGGAATGAGACTGTTGTTTTTATGGTTTATGAGTTTGGTGGATGATGCTGAGGACTTCTATTTGGAAACATTTTCAGCGAGTAAGCGCTGGTCTCCGGCTTTCATCTAACTTTATATCTTCAAGCAAAACTTCATCTTTAAAGGACCCTGGCCTTTTTGAACATCCCTGGCCTTTGTTAATCTATGTGTGTCTACATGGTCTCAGGTGGGGAGTTCACCGAGCGTGAGAATGCATCCAGGGTAGGTGACTGCTGATAGCTCAGTCACAGGGTAATGACGCTGAGGTAGATGAAGGGACAACAGAGAGCTGCTCTTGGTCTTACCATCTGTGGCAGCTGGATGTCAGCAAGGCTGGATATGAGAGCCTGGCTGAGCCCCGCCAGCTCCTTCAGCAGACTCTCATTGCTCTGCTCTATAAGCTTGTTCTCTTCCTCTATGGTCTTCAAGTTGCTCTCCATAGACGTTATCTAAAATAGAGGCAATGGCATGAGAAGCCATGGAAGGCCTCAAGGGGAAACTTGTGGTTGGGTATGAGTGCCAAGGGTATCTCCATCCCAAACTGTAGCACTGCTTACTGCTCTAAATTGTTGGATTCACATGTTCAGATTTGTACTTTCAACACAGATTTTCCCATGAATTGCAGGTATAACTTCTCTATATGGCAGGAGGGTAGATATCTCAAAAGCAATATGCCCCAGAGTAAATCTGTTATTTTCCCCAATGCTGCTCCAACTGCATGCCTCTTTTTTCCCCCCAGTGGTTAACAACCTGAATGTTGCCCAGACTCAGGTTCTTTCTTTCATATTTCAAACTCACTGAGCACTTCTTTTAAAACACACATAATAATATCACTATCCACCTGTGTTGTGGCCACCCAGACCCAGCCATTGGTGTGATGGTATCACTTCTCATGGATGACCTTGTGCCATCTTTGCTCCACTTAGCCTCATCTTGGCCCACCTCAATACCCTAACAGAATGGGTATTTTGAAGGTCATGTTAAAATGTACGTCATCTGACTGAATGACTCTTAATTTTCAAACCCTTTGGGGGCCTTTCAACACTTAAAATAAATGACAAGTAAATCACCAATATCGACTAGGCTACACTATGTGAACACTTCTTGAACTTGCCCTACCCAGCTAGCTTACTCCAGACAAATTCCCCATCACTGTTGGTTAACTTCTTTATTTTTTTAAGTCATTGATAACACATTTCCTTCTTGGAGCTTGGCCATCCTGTTTAATATCAACCCCCTTCTTCCAGCAGCAGATTTTATATATATATATATATATATATATATATATATATATATATATATATATATACACACTTTATTGTTTTTCCCATTTGGACTGAGCTCTATGAAAAAGAGGCTTGTCTTCTTTGCTAATGGTTTCTAGAGGAGGTTCATGGTTTCCAAAGGCAGCATCAAGCTCTTTCTGTGGACTTCTGTGGCATTCAGAAGACGGGATGAAGAAACTATTTGGGGTGGATTGGACTGCTTAGGTAAGGGCTGCTGAGAAATGAATGCAGCTTGCATCTTAAGAGTGGGAAAGGAGAAGAAATGGGAAAGGCACCAGAAAGGACATTCTGCCCTCTGCTTTGTCTTGTTTCTCCACCTCTAATGTGTTGCAATGCAGTTATTTTTGTTTTTCACATGCTGTGGATCGAATCCACAGTCTTTCACATGGGTAGGCAAACAATTTACTACCAAACTGAGTCCTTAATAATGGAATTTGTGTTAGTGTCTTAAAAATTCTAGGCCAAATTTTTAATTCCCAGTATTCTAGGTTTAAACACTCTTGGAGTTTTCTTTGTTTTGTATTTATAAAGTACCCGTACAAGAATCTGTTTTTAGCATACCCAGCAAATTTTCTTGAAGAATTACATTTAAAGAGTGTGTCGTATGCACATTTTTAATAAAACGAAGGACCTTCAACCTATGTAACACAATTCTCTACAAAGCAACACATGCTCTCCAAAAGTATGTATGGTCATCTGCTTTATTTGCACACAAAGTAGGTCTTCCCAGCCAGCTAAGTAAAGGCAGCAGTAACTCCTTCCACTCCTGCCCAGTCAGGAGACACAGGCACAAACCACTCATGAGAAACACATTTCTCTAGGGTATCAGCATAGCTTAGATGCAGGATTCAGTAAGCTCAATGTTTTGTATCCACTAGAGAGTATGATTAGTTTAGAAATAACTAATAATGTTTTTGAACCTGGGTCTGAAGTTTCATCATATCTGCTTCAATTTTAAGGTTGGATTCATTCAGTTCCTTTATTTCTTCATCCAAATGCCTAATTTCTTCATCACCATCAATACCTGTAAAGAGTTAACAGTTCAGAATACAGGAGACAAGGCCCAGCGACAGGTTACTTTATGTTTAAATATGAGACTTTATTTTAGTGCTTTTACCCAAACTATATCTATGCAAGAGCCTTAAAAAAAGGAAACAGTTTGGGAGTCGAATGCTTTCTAAGAAAATGAGGTTTCAGAAGACCTGGTGAGCTGTCATTTACAGTCCCTACAGTCATAAACCATTGTCGTCTTTTCATATATGAAATTGCCAGGCTTCTAAAATTAAAACAACTTGACAGAAATGGAATGAACTAACAGTGTTCAAATCCATGCAAACTCTTGTATAGCTGCTGCAAGAACAGTGAGATCCTAGGGCATGCCCAACAATTACATATCTGCTTGTTGAGGGGACCCCGAAGAGGCACATCTCGAAGCAGAGCTAGGCTACCAGCACATGGTAACAGATGTCTCTGTGTGCACTTGGGAAGGAGCACATGTGGTTCAGAAGGAAGAATACAGCCTTGACTGTTGTTCTTGCATATGAACACTCTCTGAACTTTAGGTTTGAATGCTCACAAATACAAAATATGTATGGGTGAGCATGAATGCAATAAAATGTAGACTGTGGGACAGTGGCCAGGTGTTAGTTTCCATGATTATATTGTAGAGTGATTGTGAATCCATTTACTATTTGGAAGTCTGGGAAAGTGGTTAAGAATGCCACAGTCTGGACTGAAGTTAATATCAACAATCTGGAGAAACTACTGCTGACAACAGAGAGGAGTGTGCCAGGATGAAGAAAGACGACTGATTCAGAGGAGATGCCAGAAGACAGGCAGCAGGGCATGTAGAAAATGAGGTAACAAGACACAAGTCATGTGGCAGAGGGGAGATAAAAAAATATAGGTTAATTTAAATGTAAAAGTTAAACAGTAACAAGTCTGAGCTATTGGCCGAGCATTTACAGTTAATAAGTCTCTGCGTAGGTTATTTGGGAACTGGTGGGAGGGAAAGAAAAGTATGCCTACAATTGTGTTTCCTGAAATTTGGTAGGGAATATACACTGGAAACACATATGCATGCACACATGTGTGCACATAAGCCCACAGGCATGCACATGCACACACATGTATGTGCCCGTACACATTTCCTAGGAGAAAAACTAACACTGAAAACACTGAAGGATAAAATTATTGTGCCTCTCAATTTATCTGTGTGTCATTTCATGTCTTTCCTTGTAGGAAAGCCTTATTAAATAATAGAGAAGACAGAAGACAAGGAAAACGTTTCTGAGAGGTTATAGTTGCAGCTTAACCTTGAGGAAACCCCTTTGTTCTTGCACACAAAGTATGCTTGGGAAGCCTAGACCTTGGTGGAGATGGTGACTTACCCCCGGTTGCTTTGAGCTTGATGGTCATTAGTCCCTCAGACACCTTGACCTTTTTGATAGCTTGTGCATTGAGAGGGCATCCAGATAAACTGTGAGAAGAGAATTTATATCCATATGTGAAATGCATGTCATTTCTCATAAAATTAAAACTTTTTTGCTACCAACTACTGATATGTTTGCCTTCTTAGTAGTTACATCACAATCTGTAGTTTTGTCATAGAAATTAACTAATAAATATATATTAAATAAAATCCGAGGGTTCTAAAGTATTGATAAGTGTTTGCATTTCCTTTTCTTAAATCAGAAATACAGGTTGCCACTGCCGACACAGCTAGTCCCATTCACTTGGCAGAGCACTGGTCTTCCGCACTCATGAATGTGCATTCGATGGTACAGACTTCCTTTTCTGCAGCTACCAAACTGCCCACACAGGCCATGAACAAGGACTGTTATCACCCATCTGGAATCCATAAAGAACAAGGCAGAGTTTAGCTCTTCCTGCTTTCATACAAAGCACAGGCTGATCTTCAGGGTGACTCCACAATAGTCAACAAATCCCGCTCGCTAGAGAAAATTATATTGGCTGATGAAAAGCTCCTACTTTGTTTCCCCTGTAACTGTTAAAACATTATTTTCATTTAAAATATTTCTCCCCTGAAATGGGAATAAAAGCATCTGCTGCAGGTGCAGCCGGGGCAAGGAGATCTGTTATCCAAGCTGGCGCTCATGACCCTGTTCATTGAATTGCTGCTCTCTTCAGAAGGCTTCCTTCCTTTAATGTCACTTGCTGTATTTAAATAGCACCAGTGTGATAATGATAACACTGAACAAAACCTGTTTTCCATCGTTTATGATCAGGTAATTTTCTTGTTCTAAGCAGTCATTAATTCTTTCAAGGTTTTGTTCTATCTTTGTAGAAACCAGTTTCAGAATTAAATAAAAACGAGAATAATCAACCATTTAGTATTTCTCCCCCACAGAAATGTGGTTTCAATTGATCTTTAAAACAATCATTTCAACCTGAAGTTCCTGATGCTATGCCAAGTGGAAGAAAAGTTTTCTGGAGTGGGGTCTTCAATAAATATGAAGTATCACAGTCTTTAAGAATAAGGAACTTATTCTATATTAATATTTTATAAAGTGCAGGAACTAACATAAAACTTTAAGGGTAATTTGTAATAGGCTACATTACAAAAAGGCTATGCAGTTTGTTAATCTTTGGTAAGTTATAAGTTATTTATGCAGGAAAAGAAAATGAGAGGCAACCAACTTTAGCTCCAAACCGCTTTGGAGACTCTTTCTGATGATCATGGCTTATCTACGATTCATGGAGACTCACTCTTTCCCTGGAGAATGTGCATGAGTTTGTCGGGATTTTTTTTGTCACATATTATGTTCTTAGAAAACTGTTGTGAAGGGGAGGAATACTTAACTAGTGGTGGAATGTTAAAGGTGTCCATTGTAGACAGAATGGAGAGTAGTATCTCGTTTAGAACTTCCCATCTTCTCCCCCACAACATCTACTTTTCAGCTTACAGGTAGACACAGTGTTACAAAAGTGCTGAAGAAGCACAGCCCTCACCACACAGCTTAGACCCACTGTGTATTGTTATGAGAGAAAGGCTTCAGAAGGTGGAGGCAGAGGGGATGGATCTTTGGAGCTAACTAGCCCGTTAGCATAGACTACTTGTTGAGTTCAAGGCCAGTGAGAGATCCTCTCTAAAACAAAAGATGAATGGTCTTGAGGAAAGACACACAAGGTCTCTGGCCTGTGTGTGTGTGTGTGTGTGTGTGTGTGTGTGTGTGTGTGTGTGTAGACCACAGATCTGTCTCAGGTGTCTTTCCTTGGTTCCTCATATACATGCACATACATGCATCATGACCATACCTATGATAGACATCCTTTATGGATCTGAAGGTGGAGCTTGGCAGGCCTGGAACAGGCCTATGGGGTGTGGGCTCCATAGTAGAAAAACAAAACAAAAACAACCTAAAATAGGAGTATTATGTGATTTCCATCACATCAGCAATTCAGTTAAGGTACATCAACTCAGTGGTGAGCATGTCTCCATTGCTTCTCATACTACATTGTAGCCACAGACTCATTTGCCTTTCTTAAAACAAAATGGCAGGTGACCTAGCTTAGGGCACACTTGGTTTGTGACTTTGGTTCCTAAATAGGAAATGATGACTGAAATAGAATTAAGCAATGTATGCGACAGTGGACATGACCTTGCACTGACAGCTGTACAAAGCACACCATTTGGAAAACACTTTCTCTATAGCAGGTTTCACCAACAACTCCAAAACAAGCAGTTTAGGGCGGTGGTGGCGCACGCCTTTAATCCCAGCACTTGGGAGGCAGAGGCAGGTGGATCTCTGTGAGTTCGAGACCAGCCTGGTCTACAAGAGCTAGTTCCAGGACAGGCTCCAAAACCACAGAGAAACCCTGTCTCGAAAAACCAACCAACCAACCAACCAAACAACAACAACAACAAAAAAAAAATAAGCAGTTTATGGAGAGATAATTTTCTGGTGTCAATGTCATGGTTTTCCTCTGACCTCCACACAGAAAATGCAAGTTTTTCCATATGTCAGTTTTACTGGCACCATGAAAGCAATCAATTCCTGTCAGGATCCGTTTCTGGTGTCATTGATCTATACCTTTAGAAGTGAAAAAGTGTCAAAATTTCCGAACTTTGCTCAATTTGTATATTGAACACAAAAGAATCAAAGTTTCCCTAAAACTGCACAGGAATAAGCCTGCAAGACTAGAAGGGGTTGGAACACTCACTGACTGCAGAAATATATCAGGAACTTTCTAGCTTTTTTCCTTCAGGAGCAAAGTGAGCCAGAGAGCTGGACTGAGGGCATCCCTGTGCAACAGAGGCTTCCCTTGGGAGCCAGGGGCTCAGGGATGAAGGATATCACTGCAAAGCTCCAGTCCTTGCATACCACCAGCACTCATATACGCTGTTTGCTTTCAGATTGCCGTGGGCAAATCACATCTCCCTGGAAGTAAAGCAATGCTACCCTGGCCTGAAATTGGGTGACGACGGGAAAGGCAGGGATGACAGAAACAAGTAAGTAAAAGTTCACAACTACATGACACAGTGAGTGGATAGCACCACTTGGAATTGGAGTGATGGACGAAAAGACTAAGACACTTAAAAATACTAACACAAGTGATGTTTTATAAGAAACAAATGGAGTTTCTAGGGCCCTTGAAATCTGTACAGTGAATTTTCAGACACAGAGAAAATGCATCTCCATTCTTCAGACTAGTAAAAACTTGAAATCTGTATAGTGAATTTTCAGACACAGAAAAAATGCATTTCCATTCTTCAGACTAGTAAAAACTTAGCAAGACTCTGTGTTCTATACCTAAAATGTTATAAATAATTGCATTTTGAGGGTTTTCACCTTCCCCTAAGTAACTCACATCACAAACAATCACATCAACAAAAAGACACAAAACACACATTACCTTCTGTGGGTGACGAAGACGTTATTGACATGCCCCAGCCCGTTGCATCCTGGCAAAGGACAGTGGGGAAGTTCTTGCTTGTTCAGCTTCCAGGAGAGAGGGGACCCATTGAGGGGATTCTCCTTCTGTCTCTTGGCAGCCAGAGGGCAGCCAGAAGCTGTGCGATGTGACGTGTATTTACCCGATATGTGACCTTGACCATCACACCCTATTACAGGACACCTAGAGAAGCACAGTGGAACCACTGTCAGCTTGGATAAAGGAACGGACACCTCCATACTCTACAGAAACAACCAACAGCAGATGTTTCAGAGGATACCATCATATGCCAGCTAATTTTATATCAACTTGACACACACTAGAGTCATTAGAGAGGAGGAAATCGCCTGAGAAAACGCCTCCATAAGATCAGGCTGCAGGGCATTTTCTTAATTAGTGATTGGTATGGGGGTGCCCAGCTCATCGCAGGTGGGCTCACCCCTGGACTGGCAGTGCAGGAGACTGTAAGAAGGTAGGCTGAGCAAGCCAGAAAGCATCTCTATACCATGCTCTCTGCATTAGCCCCTGCCTCCATGTTCCTGCCCTTTCGAGTTCCTGTCCTGGCTTCCTTCAATGATGAACAGTGGTATGGAAGTATAAGTCAGCTGGATCTTGGTCTTGGCATTTCAGCACAGCAATAGAAACTTTAAGACACACAACAGCATTGTGTATCTTAAGACACCAAGCAGCAAAACAGCATTGTGTTAGCAGTAACAGGGGGCAGGCTTCGATCTGAGAAATTTTCGTGCATCACCTCTTTGTTTACTGCCAACTCTTAGGGTAGAGAATATTGTCCCATTTTTCAGGCAGGGAAAAGTGAGATTTGTGTAAGAGCTTAGATGACTAGGCAGCAAGATATGGAGTTAAAATTCATACCCACTGTTGGTTTTTCTTTTCTTTAATAAATTGAAAATAGATTTTAAATAAAATACGTTTTGATTGATTACGGTTTCTCCTCCCCCAACTCCTCTCAGATCCTCCAACTATTCTACCACATAAATCCACACCTTTTCTTTCTCTCTGCCATTAGGTTACAAACAAGCATCTAAAAATAAAATAAAAATAGATAAAATCAAAATTAACAAACCAGAATTGGATAAACAAATAAAAGAGACAAAGAAAAGGCTCAAGAAACACATATAGACACAGAGACACACACAGAAAACTCATAAAAGCCTAACTTCCACAGCGTTGCTTTCCTTTAAAAAAGACAGGCAAGGAAAAAAAGCTTCCTCCCTTCTTCATTGCCAAAGAAGTGTAGAAATGAAGTTATGAAGGAGAAAACATTCTTGAACAACTTGACTCCTTAGCCAGATATCCTGGGTCTTAATGATTCATCTCCTTCAGGATTCGGTGGTAACTCAGAGGCATCTCGAAGCTCCTCCCAGTTTGTCGACAAGATGTAGCCCAGCCCAGTTCTTTATCAGCTGTACTTACTTAAGTTCAGAGTCTTCCTTTTCTTCCTTGGTAGGGGTCATTTTGATGCCACCTTTCCTTGCACGAGGGCACCCAGACAAGCTAAAATGAATAACCAATAACCATGCAAGGCACTGTGATTATGAATTTACAATGGGGTATCATTGCCAGTATACTAGTTTGCATTTGACAAATGGGGTTGGTCTTACCTTCTATGGGAAGCATAGTTTCCAGTCACATGCCCAGAACCGTCACAACCTGGTGTCGGACACCTAGGAAACACAGGAACACAGTAAGCTGCCTGGTTAGGGGAGGGACGGGCATCATGACTCCTGTCGGGACTCTTTCAGTTTAAGCAATTGTCTTTCAGTAAAGAACCCATGCTGAAAACAAAACTTAACACGAAAAACTGCTGAGTAATGTTTGATTGCTAATATATTATTATTTATTATACATTCATTTTTTTTGAGACACAGTATCAGTATGTAGTCTGGAACTCTATGTAGAACAAACTGGCCTTGAATTTACAGAAATTTGCCTGTCTCTGCTTCCTGAGTGCTGGGATTAAAGGCATGTGCCACCACAACAGACACATTTTCTTAAGTTCTATCTCAGTGAGCATTCATAGGATGTTTTTATACAAAGGAATGTTGTTCCTGAGCCACAAAGTATGGAGTAACATCGTAACTCAAATAAAATACCAAACACCCAGTTAGAGTAACGGGCATTAAGAATTTAATCACCTAAATACAGACACATATTCTCTGCTGCTAGACACATGTTTCTTACCCTTTTCTAGCAACTTTAAAGTTATGTTTAATTAGGTATCTATGTGTGTCTTTGTGTGGGTTTGGACAGGTAGATGCAGTACTGCTACAGAGGCCAGAAAAGGGTTAGAGCCCTGGAACTGCAGTTCCATGTGTGGGTGACCTTCCTGACATAGGTACTGGGAAGTAAAATTGAGTCCTCTGCAAGAGCAGTACCAACTCTTAATTGCTGAATCATCTCTACAACCCTTTATTAACATTTTTGTTAAATATTACTTTAGTAGTTTATATAGTTTATTATATATGTGATACATACACACACAGACACACACACCACACACCACACACACACACACAGACACACACACACACATATATATATATATATATATATATATATATCTTGCTATATGTTATCCATTAAGTAAAGAAATGCCTTTTTTAGGATTTTTCCTTAAATATCTAAACAAGAAGTTAGTGAAATATATGTTTCCTTATATGGGTAAATAGATAAATTATTTATTATGTGGCTATATAAAACATTTAATTACTGGACATTGCAATAGGCCCTCTTGATCCAAATGCTTCCAGTGTCTCTCTGGTTTTTTCACATGAAATTTAGAGGATGTGACGTGATCGCTATAATTGGGATGTAGCCGTGGAGACACTTAGACTGGGGAGGATATTAGAGTGTACCTTACATCTCAGCCCATTGACTACTAATCCCAAAACCACCCTACAGTTCAGCTTGCAAAAGTAGTTATCAATATTCAAGACTCTACCTTGATACAATAAATTGTCCTTTAACACTTTGAAAAGGAGAAATATAGTTGCATATTTCCAGCTTCTCATTATTTTTGGTATAAAATATTTTATGTTGCTTATTATGAAGACTGTAAGGCATATTTGAATATGAAGTTATAGGATATTTAATATGAATATTTTTATATAATACATCAAATGACAAATCTGGAATAAAAGAAGAGTAGGAAACATAAAATCCACAGCTAAGTATTAATATCTATGTAACCTAGAGACCATAAACAGAGTAGAAATGAGCCAGGACAATGTTTAGCAAAAGGGAAAAGTGGTTAGGAGATTTTAAATTCTTATGCTTTTTTAAAATTGATGCTGAAAATGTTTTGTTACACCGTCACTGGTTTAGCAAATAAATTCTGAAATTAAGAGCAAAAGGATTGTGTTTTCATGCTATTTGTTACAAATCAGTGTAAAACACAGGTATGACTTCCATTCCCCTAGTCCCTCCCAAGTCAACCCAGGCAAAGTCTAAGGGCTGAGCTTCAGCCCTTTCAAATTTTGACAAGTTTTTTTTTTTGTTTGTTTGTTTGCTATTACTCAGCCAGGTACCATTTTCTGTGCCCTTGGCAGGAAATATGGACACTGAACAACAAGTGCTCTACCAGGGTGAAGAAGGGCACAGAGGACATGCCTCCCAACACTTACTTAAGCTCCTGAGAGTTGGCAGCCATGAGGGACTTAAGAGTCTTATCTGCTAGAGGACATCCAGACACACTATAGAAGGGAGAGGAAGAAAAGAGGTATAGCGTTGACATGGGTGAATTGACTCACGGGTGTCCTGGGTTTGTGATATACATCCAGTTCTGGTTGGTGAGGAACTGAAAAGAATTAACTGGAACTGGGTCTGGTTTTACTGTTAATGAACATGGACTCCTGGGTATTTCAGTTATTTGTTGTAATCAGCAATGACCAGCAATCCACTCTCACTGCGGCATCAGTGAGTTACAAGAGCTTCAGCTTTAAGCCACTGGCTAAGGGACAGTAAATGCCATTAGCAAGAAACAAAAGAGAGAGCCTCTCACCCTGCTCAGCCACACCAGCACCTTTATTTATTTATTCAGGATCAGAGATGCCACTTCCACTAGTGAGAGACCCCTGTGCTTTCTTTGTTTAATGCTAGCTGGGGCAAGAGCCTGCCATGAGCCCCCAGTTGGTTTGTAACGAGGACCAGATTACTCTTTTGAACAAGAGTCATGACTTCTATGTACCATATCTAAATCTCTGAAAAATAAAATAATCCCCTAATCCAACTCACCCACTCTCCATTTCCTAATCCAGAAAGCTGCTTGCTATTCTAATAGGTGACATGAAACTGACCAAGATGATGAAAACCTGAACACATACAAGGACATTTGGTACCTGCGGTGAGATGCATAGTTGCCTGTGACATGGCCACTTCCATCACATCCTGGTGTTGGGCAGCTGTGTCAGCAGAAAAACACATCATGAGTGTCAAGGGCATTTCATAGACTACTGTTCTTCCAGAGAAATTGCAAAGCATTTTCTCCTTCCAAGACTGCACTGGTTAGGGGTGCAGAAGCTAGAGCACTAAGAACTTAGAGGTTAAAAAGAGGATTCAGAGGTAGAAGAAAAGTAAGCATGTCATGTCCAGACACATCCTTAGTTTTTTCTCTTTTCAATGTTATGTCCAAGTTTCCAACTCAAATGTTGTGGGAAGTGATGCTAACATGCTGCCTTGTGGTTTGTGAGTCAACAACCCATGCTGTTCTGTTCTTTGAAAAGATAAATTTATCTCTCCATAATGCAGAAATATGAGAACAGGAATCCCAGCACCAGCTGTATGATACATTATAGAAAGGAATTTCTGTAGGCTTTTAAGCAACTCTGACAGTTTACAAACTACAAAGAAGAAAACCTTTGACTGAAATGTAAATTGATATTCTAGGTGGGAAATTTATGGATGGCAGAGAAATAGGCAAGATATTTTGTTACTAAAACTCTATAGCAGCTTCACTTGGTCTGTAGCAATGCAGCACCCCCAAATCCACGGCTAGCCCACAAACAGATTCCAGGATATCTATCAAAGGGCCTACTGGGATCTGTGTCTTTTCAAGTTTCTCAGAAACTTCTGTCTTAGGCTTCTTACATATATTTAAAAAACATCCCAACAACTTTGTGACCCCCCTAAGAGGCACCTTTCCAATTAGAGAGTCTTTGTTTTTTTAATTACTTCAGTTCTTGGATGCTGTGCTCATTTGGAGAGCACAAACGGACCCATCCTGAAGTGTTATCTGTGGTTGTAATAAGGATCTGAGGGAAAGGCACTGAGTCTTTGCTGACATCCTGCCCAAAGCAAAGTCCTCTCTCTCCGTGTAAATGAAATTCAGAATGAGGCTTAATGGCACGGGGTTTTGAACCTACGTAATGTGCTGGCTTTGTGGGAGCCTAGCCAGTTTGGATGTTCACCTTTCTAGAAATGGACGGAGGGGGGAGGACCTAGGACTTACCACAGGGCAGGGAAATCTGACTGCTCTTTGGGCTGGAGAGGGAGGGGGAGAGGAGTGGGGGGAGGGGGAAAAGGGTGGGAGGAGGGGGAGAAGGGTGGGAGGAGAGGGAGGGAAATGGGAGGCTGGGAGGAGGAGGAAATTTGTTTTTTTTTTTCTCTTTTCTCAATAAAAAAAAGTTAAAAAAAAATAAATAAAGAAGTTCTGGGATTAACAACACGATGATACAATCCCCTTCTAAGTAGTTTCTCCTTTAAGTACTTATCATATGCTTTAGGAAATGAAAAAAAAAAAAACTATGAGTATTAGGAATCTCAAAGGGATGCTTGCTTTTCAGAGACTGATCTAAATTGGGGCCATTTAATTCTGTCCCTGCTACTGGAAGGGATATCAGAAAGTATAGACAATAAAATATATGTACAAAACTCTTTTTAAAAAAAGTAATGATGATTACATTCTGTGATACTTTTTGGTAACACTTATCCATTGATACAGAATGTGTCTGAACAGTTTAACTAGGGAATGAAGGGCTTTCAAATGCTTAAGAATTTTCACTCCCAAATAGTATTCCAAAAGCACTGTGTTTATTTTCTTTTCTATTTTCAACTATGTTCATTAACATTTTCAAAAGAGGCAAAGAACTTATACTAATTTCAAGTTAATTATCTGTATATTACCTATGGAATATATAGTATGAACTATAAATTTGACTTGATGAAATGGTAAAGCTTTGTGGTATAAAAAGGTCAAAAGAATAAAGAATTCATTGCAATATTATTCCTGAATGGGGAATGATATTCCTAATTGAGTTTCTGAAAGGCCTCTGATGGATGGCATAAATTCAAATCTATAGTGACATATATTCTGCAATATTGCAAAATACCAGTTGGGTGATGAAATCTAGGAGAGTTTTTAGATAAAAATATCAAAATTAAGGGAAGGAAACTGGTTAATTCTCTTGGCAATTGATGTTCAAATCTATTCAAGTCAGAGGACAGTTGATAAAATTTCAAAGTTTTGGGTAAGTTGTTACTGTATAATTATCATTTTAGAAAGAAACTGATATAACAAAGATAAGACAAAGATCAGCACACTAATACAGACACAAACAAATCAGCGAGTCCCATCCAAAACACAATGATGTAAGCTGTTTCCTGCATTATATGCTCCTGCCATAAAGTCCTGTTTCACCACAGACCCAAAGGCAACAGAACAAAGTGGCTACGAATAAAGACCTTCAAATCCATAAGCCATAATAAACCTTTACCTTCTTATAAATTGATGAGAGAAAGCTGAGTAACAAAGGGGTAAGATGTGATTGTTTGATTTATGTATACTTTGTATTAATGGCTGAATCAGAATAATTGCTCATTCAATTCTTCTGAGTTAGGAAAAACTTAAGAGGAATGGAAACCCTTTCTTCCCAAGCCATAATCTTCAAAGTAATTACAAGCTTAGCTGCCTCCCCGAAGTCAGGATTTATTTTTTTTTTTGCTTTTTTTTTTATTGAGAAAAGAAAAATAAAAACAAATTTCCTCCTCCTCCCAGCCTCCCATTTCCCTCCCTCTCCTCCCACCCTTCTCCCCCTCCTCCCACCCTTTTCCCCCTCCCCCCACTCCTCTCCCCCTCCCTCTCCAGCCCAAAGAGCAGTCAGATTTCCCTGCCCTGTGGTAAGTCCTAGGTCCTCCCCCCTCCGTCCATTTCTAGGAAGGTGAACATCCAAACTGGTTAGGCTCCCACAAAGCCAGCACATTACGTAGGTTCAAAACCCCGTGCCATTGTCCTTGGGTTCTCATCAGCCCTCATTGTTCGCCATGCTCAGAGAGTACACATTAGAGTACTATGCTGCGGTAAAAAACAATGACTTCTCAAATTTTGCATGCAAATGGATGGAAATAGAAAACACTATCCTGAGTGAGGTAACCCAGACCCAAAAAGATGAACATGGGATGTACTCACTCATAATTGGTTTCTAGCCATAAACAAGGGTCACGGAGTCTACAATTGGTGATCCCAAAGAAGCTAAGTAAGAAGGTGAACCAAAGGAAAAGCATATAGTTGTCCTCTTGGCTATGAACCTTCATCTGGTGATGGATGGAGACAGAGACAGAGACCCACACTGGAGCACTGGACTGAGCTCCCAAGGTCCCGATGAGGAGCAGAAGGAGGGAGAACACGAGCTAAGAAGTCGGGACCACGAGGGGAGCACCCACCCACTGAGACATTGGAGCTGATCTATTGGGAGCTCACCAAGGCCAGCTGAACTGTGACTGAAAAAGCATGGGATAAAACTGGACTCTCGAAGTCAGGATTTAGATACCATGAGTTGAGATATCTCTAGTTGAGTATCAGTGACCAAAGAGTATGCATCATTATCTTGTACGTAAACAACAGAGGTTCCCACCTCTTGCACTTTTGGAAGCTGCCCAAGTGCAGTGCAGAACACTGTTCCTGCTCACTAGTTAAGATGCCCTGAAGTAGTTAGAACTTTCACTGTAGAAACCTGAGTGCTATCACACCCAATTGTAAATCTGTCTCTCCTAATTGCCAAATCTTTTCCTGCAGGTAGCCGAGCCCTACTCACGTAATCAGTTCTTTCTTGAGATCTCTTGAATGGAGCTTGGGCTTTGGGCTTGGAATAGAGGTCTCTCCAGCAAACTTCTTTTCCTCTAAATTTTCTAGGGAGTTCACGGGGTCTTTCTGGAAAACAAAACAAAACAAAAAAACCAAAACCACAAGTGTTGAGTTGAGGGAGAAAGGTAGAAGACGCTAGGGAGCCATGAAAGACAACTGCATTGGAAATTATTGGTGTCAGCTGAGTGGCTTGAAGACTTGCCTTGAGTCCCACAAAGGATATATATGAAAATATAAAATGAAACTCTGTAAAAGGACATTTCCTGATTACTAGAGGGATTGTCTCTGAGAAGGAACACCTTTTAAAAATTCACATCTTTGTTCATACGGAGACATTTCTTCAACTATATGGTTGTTAATATACTGGCACATTTCAAATATTTTTATTAAATAAACATGCCCTAATGAACCCATGAATCATTTTTACATATCTAGCTGTCATAGCAGCAGCAGCAGAATGGAAGGAACATTGTACCAGAATAAGAGCACTGGTAGAACTATCTCAATATGATACTATTTTATACCAAATTAACAGACTCCAGAATAGCACCATACTATCCTTCATGTGGTTTGTGTATCTAAGTATTTTATGTTATTGATTAAAAAAAATCTTATACCAATATGCACTGGAAGGGAAACATGAACATGTACAAACTGCAGAGAAGGGTTTTCTCAATGATCCCTCCCACACACACCAGATTCCTGATAAGGGAGCTTTACACCTGCCCATTGTGCCATTCAGCTTGATGTGGATTTGGCTGAGGAGCAGCTCCATTCTAGTCTAGAATTGCCTCAGCCTTTTGAAAGCTGATATGAAGGCTAAATAAGTGCAATACTGTCTCGGTGTGCAAGGGCATGTTTTCCCACGGAGATATCTATTTTTCACCAAGTGGCATGACATAAAATAATCATTTTATTGTTTTCTTTATCATGGAGTTGAGAACAAAGATTCTCTCTGAAGGCATGTCCATTTACAGATAAGCATGGGAGTGCTTTTGGTTAAAATCTGTGTATGATAGAATGTGGGATTATGGAGGAATTTTAAAGGAAATGATCGATATTATTAAAGTTCAAACTAATATATGGCTAAGATGCATATGAAACAGTGTTGACTGGATACATGCTACTTAATTGGCATGATAAAGTATTGAAAAGTATTGAAAAACACCATGGTTTTATTGATGAAGACCTTTTAAACATATCACGACTTTTTAAACCATAGACTCTGTGCCTTTAAATCTTTTATAAATGGGTTGCATTTTCTGCTTTTTCTTTGCCTTCACATTCTACTCTGCAAATCTGCAGGGAATGTTTCATATGTGTCCATAGCTAAAATAATTCTCAGGATTAGTTCTGCTACAGAAACATATGATACTGGAGGAAATATTAAGTAGCACCCAATGTAGAATTCAATAACATGTTTGAGACTGTTATTCAAAACTTAAAAATGTATAGTTTCTAACATAGTAATTTTATTCTGTGCACGATGCCCCAAAAAAGACATGTATGTGTGCATTTACAGAGTACACGTGCTATCAGATTCTTCAGTGTACAGATGGAAGGTTACATTGATTTCAGTAAAGACCAGAACATAATGGTAACATGAATAACAGATAATAGCATCTGGCACTTTTAAAATTTTAAGCCCTGAAATCTTTGGATAACTGACAGTTGAATGAAGCTGACAGCCCTAGTTATTTCTCAGTACTTTCCTTTTGAAATATTTTGATTTTTTTCCAGATTCAGGATATTTTTTAGAGGGCATCTGGACAGGCTATTTCACTGCGAGAGATAGACAATATTTTCTGAAAATTACCACCAAAATTAAGCAACTGTTGTGCATATGAACTAGATAACAATGAATTAGAAATAATCACTCAATTTCCAGTGGTGTGAGTGCTGTGATGTAGGGGCAAATGGGAAGAAATGCTTTCAGGTCTTCAAACACTCCTGATGAACTGCTGGGGTAGACTCAGTGTCCCTAAGCAACACAAGGAAAGGGACCTTGTTCCTTAGTCACATCATGAAGATGTGCCAGGGCATCGGCCCTTGGTCCTCATCCTTGGCCCACCCGAGGCAATGACAGCTTCCACACACCGGGTCTGCACTATCTCTTCCCTCTTCCTCTCCATGTCCTCCCCCTTCCCATTTCATTTTCCCTTTTGAAACTTTTCCTATTATTCTCTAGCAATCTCTGTTGTGATTTTTTTCTTTTTTATACATTTCTTCCACTTTACTTTTCCTTTGTCTTTGGTAATCACAAGTTATTCACCAACAACTATACCTTCCTGATTATGCTTTTTCTTTTCTGAAAATATTACCAAAACTGTTTCACAGGACTGTTGGGATAATAAGACATGGTATAGAAAGAGTTATTTACTTATATATATTTTTACTGCATGTGGTGTTTCTCGAATGTCTTCTAAACAAGGATTCTGAATAGACATTATTAATTTAAGTTACATTTCAGAAATGGTATCTCTTGAGCCTCATACTTATTTATCCTCAAGACTTAAAATAAAATGTGAAAATACTCTGTTCATAGACTACCTTGGTACAGATGAGGGAACAAGAACAAAGGCAGGAAATTGTACCAGGGAGCTCCAACAATTGAGTATCACTTTTATGTGAGTCTCCATCGACTATGAACAGCTATGAAAGAAGTGGTTAACTCACCCAGTGTAAGCACTGTGTGTCCACAAACCCTTAACATCCCCCAGTCTTCCTGGACCATGTCAGAGGTATGAATTCCAACATAGCTTCTAAATTCCATTTCGGAATACTTCAGTTGAACACTGTAGTGTAAGACTGTCCTGTTGGATCTTACTTCAGGAAAAGACCCTACTACTCTCCCTCACCCCTCTGTGTATGTGTGTGAGTATGCGCACACACAGAAAAATAAAATAAAACACTACCACAAACGTATGTTGAAGCAGGAGGAAACATAAAACATTTGAATCTATACAAATGAACTCATTTTTTTTTAATTTTATAAAAAAGATTGGAAGTAAAGGTAAAATGTTGTTAGGAGACTCATTTTCTGACACACTGGACTCTAGGAAGGACAGACAAGAGGTCAGTGGGAGAAGTGACAGAAGACACACAAGTGTAGTGACAGCCAGACAACCCTGGATATCCTGTATGAGAGGACAACATACCCAAGGACTCATTGCTGCATTTCTGCGCAGAATCACACACTCCTGACTGACACTGGGCACCAAGCTTCTAGGAAGGTTTCTGGTACATAAACTGACCATGGTTCAGTCAACGCAGTCATGTGGTCAGGAACAGGATGGTTAAAAGCCTCTCATCAAATGGAGTTGAGCTATCAGTACATGCCAGGATTCTTACTTATACAAGAATGCGATGCCGTGAGAGCTACTCTGTAAAGCGCTATTTCTCTCGAAACAGAATGAACTTCTATTTAGCACGCATCATCTCCCAACACCCTGCCTGCTGCCTTCTCAGCTCCACTAGGAAGTGGAGCATGGTGCAACTTTGGTTCTTCCGTGTGCACACAGGATGGCAATGGGAGAAGTTTATAGTCATTACTTCAGACCAATAAACTGCCTGTGACTCTAGAAGTATTTGGAACATATAAAATGTTTTTGAGTTAGGGATATTTAACCGATGAAATCTATGCAAGATATGAAAAACTCCAATTAGGTAGATTAAAGTCAGTCTCACTGAATGCTGCTGTGCCTGAGACCATTCATGCTCCAGGTGGTGATGAGGATTGACATGGATGATGCTGATACAAGGATGTCTTTGCTCAGCACAGTGGGTACCTGCTTATGTTACTTTTCATTTGCTTCTTAAGAAAGACTCTCCATATCTATCACCATGCACAAAACTTAAGTCTAAATGGATCAAAGACCTCAACATAAAGCCAGCCATACTGAACCTTATAGAAGAGAAAGTGGGAAATACACTTGAACGCATTGACATGGGAGACCACTTTCTAAATACAACCCCAGCAGCACAGACACTGAGAGAAACAATTAATAAATGGGGCCTCCTGAAACTGAAAAGATTCTGTAAAGCAAAGGCCTGGTCAACAAGACAAAATGACAGCCTACAGAATGGGAAAAGATCTTCACTAATCCCACATCAGACAGAGGTCTGATCTCCAAAATATACAAAGAACTCAAAAAATTGGTCACCAAAAGAACACATAATCCAATTAAAAAATAGAGCACAGACCTAAACAGAGAACTCTCAACAGAGTAATCTAAAATGGCTGAAAGACACTTAAGGAAATGTTCAACATCCTTAGTCATCAGAGAAATGCAAATCAAAACAACTCTGAGATTCCATCTTACACCTGTAAGAATGGCCAAGATCAAAAACACTGATGACAACTTATGCTGGAGAGGTTGTGGAGTAAAGAGAACACTTCTACATTGCTGGTGGGAATGCAAGCTGGTATAACCCCTTTGTATGTCAGTGTGGCGATTTCTTAGAAAATTAGGAAACAACCTTCCTCAAGACCCAGTAATACCACTTTTGGGTATATATCTAAAGGATGCTCAATTGTGCCACAAGGACATGTGCTCAACTATGTTCATAGCAGCTCTGTTTGTCACAGTCAGAACCTGGAAACAACCTAAATGTCCCTCGACCCAAGAATGGATAAGAAAAATGTGGTACATTTACACAATGGAGTACTACACAGAAGAAAAAATAACGACATCTTGAATTTTGCAGGAAAATGGATGGAACTAGAAAAACGTTGAGTGAGGAAACCCAGACCCAGAAAGACAATCATCACATGTACTCACTCATAGGTGGTTTTTAAACATAAAGCAAAGAAAGCCAGCCTACAAACCACAATCCCAGAGAACTTAGACAACAATGAGGACACTAAGAGAGACTTACATAGATCTAATCTACATGGAAAGTAGAAAATGACAAGATCTCCAGAGTAAATCGGAGCATGGGGACTTTGGGGAAGGGTTGAAGGGGGAAAGGGAGGGGAAGAGAGAAAAATGTAGAGCTCAATAAAAATCAATAAAAAAAAAATAACCAAACCAAACAAAAACCAAACCAAACAAAAAAGAAAGGATCCCACGAATAGACTATACTGACCTTGAGCTCACAAGCCCCCTGCCTTACTTTCTTCAGAATTACAGGTGTGTGCCCCACGCCACTATGTGCAGGCCTGAGGCCAGGGGAGCACCATAGCGGAGACTGAGGCCATTCCCCTAGTGTGTCTCCTGGACCTCCCTCACTGCTTATCCTTGGAGACGCCAGAGGAGATGCGCAGGAGGAGAGAAGGAGGGGAAAGGCAGGAAGGAATGGCGATCCTGCAAACCTATGCTCACTACTGCATATGCTGACTCACTGAGGCAGTAAGCAGAAATCAGATCACTCCGCATGTCTGAAACACAAAGAGCTGAACTATTGTTCATACATATTTCTGCAGCAAACAGCTATGTCACTGCTTTGAAAACACCACCTGGAAAGCCCCTCAATGATATTTCTGATTAACATCACAATCGGATCACCCATACTTATCACCAGGGCTACTTTTGTAATTGTGTGAGATGTAAGTATCTGTTCGGGCCACACCAATGGCTCCCTCTGCAGAAATGAGGAGGACCAGATGCTTTCTACCCTTTCACCAACTTTGGCCCCTCTCAATATAATCAAGTGTACAAGTATGCCTCCTGGTCTTTGGACTCATTCAGCCTAGATGTCCAGAGACCTTTCAGTTACTCACGTAACTCTCCACAGACATGTCCTATGTCTTGGGACCTCCAAGAGACCTAAGACATGGCTCTGACATGCTTTCAAGATTCTTATTGTTCCTGACTGGATTTCACCTTGACACTGATTCCAAGTGTGTTAGTGAGTCAACCTTTTAGTGTTGAGTAAGGACCCCTACAGGATACTGTGAGGACAACTGTTACCATTGTGTGAGTAAAACTCACTATAATGATACTAATTTATGCAAATGATCTGAAAAGTTGAGTTCCTTAATATATTTCATCTGAAATTTAAAAGCATTACTTTATCTTGATCAGAAACATAAGGCCTGATTAGATAGTTCTTGCTGCTCTCGAAAAGGACCGGGGTTCAGTTCACAGCACACACATGGTGGCTCGCAATCACGTATAATTCCTGTTCCTTGGGATATGATCCCCTCTTATGACCCTCATAGGCACCAGGCATGCACGTGGAATACATAAATAAATGCAGGCAAGTCATTCATATACATAAAAATAAAATGGAAAATCTGAAACAAGACCTAACACTTGTTTGTGCCGATAGGAATGTGAAGGAAAAATTAGAAAGGAAGTCTAGTCGACAGACACATTGACACAATACCTCTTTCTCCTCCTCTGTCTTTCCATGGGTTTTGCTATAGTTGATGGGCACATCCCAGCCTTCTTGGTCACAGAGAGCCTGATAGAAAGCAGCATTGACCAAAAGGCTGCTTGCTTTGAATGGGGAAGAAGATGGGGTTGAAATTATCGGGTGAGAGGAAGTTGGGGGTATAGACTTGTCCAGGATTCGATTTTTTTTCATGCTCAAGTCCAATGTGCCATTTTCATCCACTTCTATCTCAGCTCCCTGCTAGAGAACAGAAACAGAAAACATCTCAGCAGTTTGCAGTCACAGCCTAGCCATGTGGGGCTTTTAAGGGATAATTTAAAATGTAAGCTTTTATGGAAGTATATCTGCTTTTAAATCCAGCTTTCTGATTTGCATTGGCTAACGTTCAATTCTTAGGAAGACTTTAAAGAACAGCCCATTAATGTGCTTCATATTTCTGGGTTTAAACAAAGTAAGCTTAATATAAATGAGATGCATTGGCTAAAACAATTTTACATACTTGCATATTTTGTTGAGCTTCGAAAGTCTTTTCCACCCACTGGAAATATCTTTCCAAAACTCACCATTTTAACATTAATATTTGTATTTAGCAAAAGTAGCACATAACTTCCCAACTCCCTGAATCATCATAATAATCTAACATTATAAACATGCAAATCTAATCAGCTAGAATCAAATTTTTCAGAATACTGTATGTAGGAGTAGGACAGCAACATTCTTCTTAGACCATCTGAACTGGAGAAGGGGACTGGTTGATTGTATGTCAACCTGACACAAGCTAGAGTCATCAGAGAGGGAGTCTGTGAGGAAATGCCTCCATGAGATCCAGATGGAAGACATTTTCTCAACTAGTGATCAATGGGCGAGGGTCCAGTCTATGGTGACTATTGCCTTCGTTGGGCTGTTGGTCCTTGGTTTTATAAGAAAGCAGGCTGAACAAGCCATCAGAAGCAAGCCAGTAATCAGCACCTCTCCATGACCGCTGCATCAGTTTCTGCCTCCATGATACAGCCCTGTTTGAGTTCCTGTCCTGACTTCCTCCAGTGATAAACAGCAAAGTAAGAGTATAACCCAAATAAACTCTTTCCTTCCCAACTTGCTTTTTGGTCATGGTGTTTAATTGCAGCAACAGAAACCCTAAGACAAGAGGCTTTGTTCAAGTGAGGTGAGTGGGAAGGGAGAAATGATTGTGGAAACTGACTTCACTGTGTGTCTCCGAGGTTCAGTTCTGTAATGAAGATTTAGGATGAAGGTCTTTTTTTTTTATGGTGTTTCCTTTGAGACATAATAGTGATGAGGTTTTCCAGGACCACCATCTTTGGGATCCCAAGCCAAGCTATTAATTGTTTCTGAAAAGAAGCCTGTCTGCCTGGGTAGTAGCCACCACAGGACTCCTCCTGTGGCCCAGTTCTTCAAGATTTGCACTCTAGGGGGCTTTTGCCAACATTACCAGATCTCCTCAAAGCATGGGAAAATATGCCTATCAACTCTATAAATAAATGACATAACCTTGCTGTTATTTCTAGATCACCCATCAATTTATAGTTAACTTCTTATCCATTTCTCGACTTTTCCATTTTAGTCGGCCCCTTAGATCTTGTGGTCACCAGATACTGTCCAGGGCATGTTTTAATGCCCTGCTCATGTCCCTCTTGTCAGCAGTCACACAGGCTGGATTGGTCCTTGATTGAGAAATAAAAGGCCCTCTTCTTTTTTGTTTGTTTTACCTGCAAAGTTTCTATCTCGTCTTTCAGTCCATCAGCATTTACGGGAGGTAAATACACTTCTAATACAGCAGGCTAAAATACTTTGGCCATATTTTTCTGTCCCGTTTTAGTAAATAGTTTAATCTCCTGTGATAGTTTTAAGCCCTGAATTTGACATTACAGCTTATCCAGGATAATAACATAGAAACCACAGCATCTTATGCCATCTGTATAATATCAAATACATTTTTATGCTAGCATTAATAAACCTCTGTTATAAAAAAAATCCAAGATATTAACCATATCAGAGCCAGCGGCCCCCCTTCTTCCATGAGCTCACAGTACATTCTGCCAGTCGGGCATCAAAGCAATTTTTGCTTTGTAGCTGATGTGTAACTCTAGCAATGAAACAGAGCAATAGTAATCAAGTTTAATGGCCAACGTAAAGTAAAATGCTAAATATTGTAGTTGCTGACATTTTTCATAAAAAAAAAAACTTGGGTTAAAGCTGCACAACCAACATTCACATAAAATTCCAGACCTCTGTGACAGATGGCTTAGGAAAGAGAAGCCATGTGACTGGGCTGCAGAGTTTTATAGTGCAAAACCCATAAATAGTGCAGATTTAAGCTTTGAAAAATACCAACTATTCCAAGAATAGTTTCATATATATGTACACATATACACATATATATTAGTTCTTATAAAAGTATTTCAAATGTTTTTTAGAATTTAGAGATTCTAGAAGCCATTATAATTATTTGTGCTGCATAATTTGAAAAATCTCACTCCTGATGTTTGGAAGAGGTGTCTCAGCTTGCTGCACAGGGCACCTGACTTGGGGAAAGGGGACATCCTGGGCTGGGGATGGGAGTACAGATGGGCTTGAAGTAAGTGCGCAGATGCATCCAACAATTGCAGTGCAGCAGGAAAGGCCCTTCTACCCACGATGGGGATCACACATTCACAGCATGGGTTTTTATTCAGATACCACCAAGCATTATTTTTCTATGCTTTGAACTCCAAATGTCAGCCCAGAAATCTGAGTGGTGGGAGAGGCAGGGCCAGAGCTGCAGCTGAGGCGGCGCTTCCCTCTCACACCCTCCAACACATAGATTTCTGCAGCGCTATTTGGCATCTTTATTGTAAGTATTTATACTTTAAGTGTCCTTGGGCTGGCTACATACCTTTCAGCTTAGGAGAAGAACATAGGCCATCGATTGATGCTGCCTTTGAGTTGCCAACCTTATGGTGCTGGGTGTGTTCATTGTATTACTGAGGACCTGCACAGCATGATCATAACAGAACAGGGTCCAGAGAAGAGAAACTGAAAGAGCAGATTGTTCTGACTTTTTTTTTGGGGGGGGGGTCCTTTATGAGTAATGGCTTCTAGTGTAAGGTACCAAGTTTATTAGGAATGATGGTGGAACTGAAAGTTACAGACATAGTGATTGTCATCTTCATCTCTCCTAGGAGATAAGTAGTGGCCTGGATGTCAAGCAGCACCTCTGTTAACTAGAACATCACCTGCTCAGTGAGACAGGAATGAGGAGGAGCCAACGACAGGTTAGAAAGTCCTGTACGACTGAAGAAGGAAAGAAAGCCCTCTCCATCTTACTCAGCAGTAACTAACTGCTTCCACTGTAAAGATGACAAACATGTAAAATATGCTTGTAACATAGAACTATGCAGTTCAGAGAAGAAATGACTAACCCAAGGTGTGAAATTGGGATGAAATTTAGAGCTACTTCCCCAAATTTCTAGGCCTTCTTCAAGCAAAACACACATTTTGAGTTTGAAATCATGCTCTATCAGGCTCTTGATATGACAGTATATGAGCCATGAAGCATTTTAGAAAATAATTATGGCTATGTGTGAATTCAAATTTCATTTCCAGCAATTACAGCCGTGCCACTAGCAGAAAATTATTCAGTATTTCTGTACCACCATTTCTTCCATGGAAAAATGGAAAATTATTATCCATGTTGTTGGCTTTAGAAGGATTAACATGGTCAGAGAGCTACAAAGGCTACCTAGCACATAGTAGGTATTCTATAAATCTATCCCCAGCGAGACATAGCCCTCAACTACTGTCCACAGGGCTAAAGAGTCAATATTTCATTTGTTTACATGTCTTGAGGCAGGATCTTGCTACATAGCCCAGGATGGCTTCAAGCTCCTGACATCCTATCTCAGTCTCTCTGGTGCCGAGGTTCCAGGCTGCACCACCATGCCCAGCAAGGAGCTATCTATGGGTATCTAGTTACAATACACCTATAGACTCAGTTCTTTATGATCCCTGCCTCAAGACCCTCAACACCTTTCACTCGGTACAATGTGCTCCGATGTTATAAGTGGCTTTGAGTTCTAACCACCCAGGGGCCATTGGGGTATTCCTGCGAGCAGGCGGCACCGATGGCATGCTGTTTCCAGGCCTTGTTCAAGCAAAAACAGACTTTGAACTTTAAACACTTCAAGTAAGTGTCAAATTTTTGTTTTCTTTTAAGGAACTGTGCATATGTCACTTTGTCTAAACAGGTGGGGAAAACACCAAAACAAATAACAGAACGCTTGGCAAGCAGCAGGGATGAGGATAAAGATGGGTTGGAAGCCTGTTTTACCTCTGTGCATGAGAATGGGGGTAGAAAAAGTGGACCGGATCTGCCACAGACTGGCACAGCTCTCAGGGGCCTTGACAGAACGTTCTCAGCAATTCCCGGATGCTCACTCTCTGGCCATCTACACTCATGGCTCTCCTACCTAGAGTCATAGTGGTCAGGCAGAAGTACCATAAGGTATGTGACAGTGTGACCAATTTATGTTTCAAAATTCCTATTTATGTCAAATAAAGATGGAGGACATTCTCCTTATCTTAGAACCAACAAAAGCACTAGAATAGAAAAAAAATACTAGTATTTCAGACAAAATGACCTTTTAACCAGTATGATGTTTACAAGAACTAATCGTACAAATTATTCACTCCTTTCTTAATTTCTTAAACCACATGAAAGAGATCTGGTGGTATGACTATGTTACTCAAAGCTAAAATGGTATTTTAACAAAAATAGTTTCTCCTAAAATATAAAATGTGGTGAGCTCTGGTTTGGAAAGTTACCAGACATGTTAGACATGGCTTGATGTTCTTTGCACAGTTATGGTGTGTACCTGGTGTGGAAAGAACACAGGTTGATTAAATGGACAACATTGTGCATAACAGATAAAGTTATCTATGTCATCTGTGGTGGTCTGAATAAAAATGATCCTCGTAGATTCATAGGGAGTGGCGCTACTAGGAGGTGTGGCCTTATAGGAGTAGGTGTGGCCTTATTGGAGGAAGTGTGTCACTAGAGGGTGGGCTTTGAAGTTTCAGAAGCTCAAGCCAGACCCAGTAACTCACTCGTCCTGCTGCCTGAGGATTCAGACGTAGCTGAGACTTCTCTAGACACCATGTCTGCCTGTATGCTGATACGCTTCTGACCATGATGACAATGAACCAGACCTCTGAACTGTAAGCCAGCCCAAGTTAAATGTTTTCCTTTAAAAGAGTTGTTGTGGTCATGAGATCTCTTCATAGCAATAGAAACTTGAACATCGTCCCTCATGTCTTTATATTTACCTGGGGACTCGAGTTTCCTTGACCTTCTGAAAACCATCTGAGTGTTTTGCAGATCCCCAATTCAGAACCCTATTTAGTGTGGAGTCAGTGGCATCCCTGTAGAAAAATCTGCATGCACCTGAGGTGGGGTTTCAGCACATTTAAGTTTTGCAGGCTTTGGCCTTCAGACCTCAGTGTTCTCTTTAATAAATTCTCTGATTTGTGCTGTGAGCAACCAAAGAGATGTTCACAGCAAGTTGTTTCTGGATGGAAACGAGAGGAAAGAAAAAAAAAACAGCCATCTCCAGTTCAGATGGAAAGCACCGTGAAGCCACCTGTGCAAGCCCCAGCCTCCACAGGCCCACTTCTGCCTCAGCCGTCCAAGGGCGGGGCATTCCTTTCCTACTGCTTATCAGTAAGCTCCTTGAATTCCAGGTCTGAAGTCAGGCTAAAAGAGTGGTTCTCAGCCTCCCTAATGCTTCAACCCTTTAATATCGACTCATTTTGTGGTGACCCCCCAACCATAAAATGATTTTCGTTGCTTCTTCATAACTGTAATTTTCCTACCATTACAAATTGCAGTGAGTTTTCTGATGCTATTAGATGACCCCTGTGAAAAGGATATTTTATCCCCAAATGGGTCACGCAACCCATAGGTTGACAACCACTAATCTACCCAGCAGTTGAGGCAACCCCAGTGCTTAGCCCCTCTTGCCAATGTGTCTCATATACTGACACAATGATAGAATAAGAAAACACATTTTCCTTATTTGCTTCTAAATATGAAGCATAGCAGATCTTACGGCTGTGAACTTTGAGAGATAATGGCACTAACAACCTGTGACAGAGAGCAAAACTCAAAACTACTGGAGGAAGAATTCGGCTGGCACACAATGTTCAGGGGAAAATGGCTGCTAATCCCAGGTTTGCTGGCAGCAGCAAAGCCGCAGACCCAGCACGGTTTGCTTAGATGCAGGTCTGAAGAGTTAATGAACCTGTGTTTGTTTTGCTGTGTTTCTAAAAGAGTTGTTTCAGCAAATTTGTGAGCAGCAGTTCTATATTCAGAACACTAATGAAGAGAGTTCTAGACATTGATACAGTTGTATGGGGATGGAAGAAGTCTGCTCTGCAGTTCAGCAGTACTGTTCACAGGGATGCTGGGGAGAGGGTTTATCCTACAGTAACAACCACTGTTTGTATTTCTCACAGAACTTTTTACAAAGATTGCTGGCCTAAGTGGCTCCTTTTAAAAGCTGATCTAAGCCCTTTCTGTCTCCACTGTTCGCATCCTGGCATCAGTGGGGAGTGGGAAGGGCTGTGTTGGAGAGGACGTTGTCTTGGGAATGCCAGGTCTGCTGACACACGGAGGGGACAAACAGACTTTAGAAAAGGATCGTATGGCCTTTGGAAATGTGGTAATTACGCAGGTGTTTTTTTTTTTTCTGATCATAAACGTGGCTTTAAAAGGGAGCCGACTGACGAGAAAATGCCACTCAACTGGTAGTCATCTCTGTTACTTGCTTGACATCAGCCACTTAATGGAACCTGAAGATCTCGGGTGACAGAAGTACCCCAGATAGCAGGAAATGCGTGGGTGTGCAAGTGGACAGTGTTCATCCTGGCAGTGTCGCCAGCTGCTTCACCTTGAATAACCAGGACATGATGGCATAACCCATCTCCTCTAAGACAGCATCTAAGTCAGGCAGAAAGCAGTAGGAAGGAAGACATTGGAGTATTTCTGGAACCAGGCACCTCTATAACATTCTTAAAAAGGGAGAATAAATCAGGCCTTAAAATGTCAATTTGAAAATAAAGTTGCATTATACAATCCCTCAATTTTTTCTCCTGTGTCAGTAATTTGTGACTGGCATTATGAATTCAGAGAGTTGCATATTTTCTTTACATTTTTAGAGAATATTTTTTTCCTTTGTTTAAGAACCTCATTTGTTTAAAGATTGTTTTTGAGTGGGTTTTGGCAACCACCTCTTCCTGGGGTTTAGTTGGCTTGGCTTCTTCCAGAAGCTAATTCTGATTCTTCTGTCAAATGCTTGGTGGCACAGCGCTACCTGCTTTCCTGAAGGCCTGGCACAGCGCAGGCTGCAGCTGACCACGCAAGGATGGAGCTGCCCTTAAAGGGAAATGTCTCAGCTTGTGTTGCACAGACTTCAGGGTCTGAGAGTCACTCAGGAAATCAAGGGTAAAATCCGTGGCAAGAGAAGGTCTGGGCATTCTATGTCGGCAGGCTTCTAGCTATCTAGATAGGTGGCAAGCTCTTTAAGTGAGGCTGTTTGTACAAACAGGGGAAACACTGAGCCCTTACAGCTTCCGCTCTGGCCCACTGCATGCAGGGTCTTTGGGTATTCACTGGGTGTGTGACTATGTATTTCCCACAGTTAGAAAGGAAGGCTACAGAAAGTATGATTAATCTCTTAGGAAATGCACTGTGTTCACAAAGATCCTAGAATGTGGTTCTGGATTGAATAGTAAAGCTTCTCCTCTCCTCAGTCTGATAAGTCACTGTACTGTGGGTCTTATTAGAATACTACAACCTACATGTCCTCACGCTGTGCAGGGGTGATACGGACAACATAGCTTCAAGGTCAGTTTCAAGAATGTTCCACCAGTCGCTGTTTCTAAGTGGCTCTGACCTGCAGACGGCAAACAGCTTCCACTGTAGAGATACCGTAACAGCAGCTCTTTTTCCTTGCTCACCAAATGCATCCTAACAGAAACAGTGATGACATTTTCCTCAACCGTCCTCATAAGGCACTGCTCCGCAAACTACTAGACCCCCAAGATAAGTACATATCCCTTCCTTGAACCCATTGAGAGGTCATCCCTGCTTGGGTGGAAAGTAGAGGAAGCAAGTGGATGCAGTAAGGAACATGAAAGATGCTTGATTCTCAAGTCTCACGTGCTGGCCCACCTTCCACGCTCTTGGCCTGGCTTACCTTGGCACGCAGGCCCTGTGGTTTGTTGGAGAGGATGTCTGTGGCTTCCCTGCAGCGGGTGGAAAGGTTCAGGATGGCAGCAGCTGCTGCTATGTGGGTGTCTTCACTGCACTGACCATGGCCATAAGAGCTGGCACGGATTGTGCTCTGTGTGTGGGCGCCAGCACTAGGCGGCCCATTAGGAAATTTCACTGGATTTGAAAAATGCTTTGCTGTTGAAGAGAGACTTGATTAGCAATTGCATGTACTCGGCTTCAATCATCAAAGATTTTTTTTAAAAAAGACAAAACATCTTTCATTAAAATAAATTAAAGCAAAACCATTATCTGTTGGTACGTTAAATGAAGGTTACACAGCCAGGTTTCACCAAGGTGCACAGACCTGATGAGGCAATCCTTCAAAGATACCCATTCTCTTAAAGAGTTCTTGCATTTTCTTTATAGGTAACTGAGACTCCATCATCAATGTTACAGGGCAGGTGTATTAGCAACATGTATGAAAATTGTAGGTCAAAAAAATGAGCAAAACCCATCATACATTGCAAACAGTCCAGGACAGGTGTGTGCACGAGCTGAACAGGCTGAAGACCATGACTCAGGAGAGCAGGCACCCTTCAGGGGCTGCTCTCACTGAGGTTTCTGCTTAGACACGGGGTGTATTCTGATTACTTGGAATGAATGCTTGCTCTATTCTTAACAGAGAGGGCCTGTTTTCAAGGTGAAGAGAAAGGCTCTTAGTTACCAAGGCTGACCTTCTGTGTTTTGTTGTGGGCGTCACAGCTTTTCTGAGGGATAGTTACGCAAATTTCTCTTCACCGAGGGCTGTTTGTGAGCTCCACTCAAGGTAATGGAAGAAACACCCAGGGTACAACGATATGAAAACACTTAGCTATTAGTTTTGGATTAAGTGTTGCTTATTTTAAAGATTTGCTAATTGTTTTCTAAAAGATATTGCTGAATATTATTCTTGTAACTACAAGAATACTAATGTTACTACCTCTATTATGGTTTTTTATAACTAAAACCCAAACAATATGAGTCATTAGTGCACTCTTCATTTCCCTGCATGTGAATTAAGTAAATATGCACATATATTCATTGTACACATATAATAAAAATATTTATGCAAATTGGGCTGCTAGATAAAAACATTATGTGTGTACATTTTGTTATCTAACAAGTTGCCAGTTGCTACTCAGGTTTGTTGGGACCACTTTTGATTATGAGCAAGCATATCTTTTTTAATATTATTATGTGCTTATCAATGATGGATAAATTTTTTCAAGTTTTTGATCTATCTGGAGGGGGATAAAGGGTGAAAACCCAGACTCTGTACATGTTAGCAGAATCCATGGGATCCCCATTGCCAGGTTCTTAGTAGCCTTCTAGGTTCCTGCAAGCATGGGTCAACACGACATAATGAAGCAAGCACTAAACTCACAGGATGCTAGCTCCATTCGGGTGTAAGATCTGAGAGAGTCATCGATGTTTAAGGCTGCACAAAATGCATGGCCCACAGAGGACTCCAGGTGGGTGGGTGTTTCTTACTGAATTTTCTGCATTTGGGCCTGACACCTGCTTCTCCATATTTTCATTAGCATACTTAAAAGAAATGTATATGCAAGACCACCAAGTCTTCTCCACTGCACAGCCGTTCAGCTCAGCCTTCACCACTCATGTCAGAATTAATGAGACTACTGTTTAACCTATTTTGAAGGTTTCTATATAAACAAATCCTTAAATTTATTAGTCAATGTTTTCATAGTCATGTTTTTATCCTTGTAAATTTCAGATTCCTTAATTGAGTTTCTTGAATTTTTCAGCTTTCCCTACCTTCAGTCTGATGTCTTTTAATGATTTAAGTATTTTAAATAGTATTACATATTTCATATTATTAGATTGCCATGATCACAACATGAATTAAAATAATATAGTACAACAGCTGTCATAGTTTTAAATATATTAATCACAATCCTATTGATCTCCTTAGCACTGTTATATTTAGATTAAATAATGGCACTATCTGGGAAATAATTAATGACTTACAATATTCAGTGTAACTTTGATATAAAATTTGTAAGAATAGTTAACTTACTTATTTCACTATTCTTTCCTGTGATCTCTAGAGAACACATTATATATCTGAATAAATAACCCCCTCTACACAAGATGCATTATAGGGTAATGAGTGTTAGAATTAAAATTTGAAGCTTACATTCAGGAAATGGTGGTGTTTTTTGTCCTTGCCCTGTTTGTAGGAGAGGACGTTTACCAAAAACTTGTGCATCAAAACTGGCATAATCAAATGGTACTTTCCCAAACTTCTCTTGTTCTTTTGATGCAGCGGCTCTTGGAGAGGCGATGGCTTGTGAACGGAAGTTAAATTCAATTTGCTTCACCAAATTCGTCCTTGTAAAAGGCAAGAAGTAGTTTGAAGAAAATAGAAAGAAACTTTTGTCAGGTTTCAAAGTAGCTAGAATTGCCACTGCCTACCAGGGATTCCAGAGCCACCACACTTGATTAGGACACAGATTATTAAGCATGAGAAACCAATGACTGAAACACCCACCAGAAAAAGGATGAGACCAGATAGCTACACTAAGGAATACTCAAAAGTCCTAACTCCAGATGCTTAGATTCCAGTACAAAACCACAATCATGAATAACCATGAAGATATGCCTCTTCCTGAAGCCAGAAACCATATTGTAATAGGCTCACACAAATTCAATTTAGCTAAGAAACAATACAAGGGCTCCCAAATAGCAATCATAAAAAATTTTAAAGACATTAACGAGGATATGAATAAATGCCTTAATGAAGATTATAAAAACATTAACAAACAGTTGAATGAAAATAATTTAAGAAAGTAGAATTTAACAAAAAACCAGAATCACTAAAGGAAACAAACTAAAATTATATTGGAAATGAAACACGTAGGATTTCAAAACAAATCAAAATATAACCCTTAGAACTAACCCTCACCAACAGATTTAAAGCATGGAAAAGAGAATTTTAAGATTTTGATGGCAAAGTAGTAAAAGTGGGTATCTCAATCAAAGAAAATGTTAAATCTTTAAAACAAACAAAAAGTGGGCACAACATTCAGGAAATCCAGGAAACCACAAAAAGACAAGCCCATGAAATGGGTAAATAGGAAGGAAGAGAAACCCAAGTAATAGCACAGAAAATAATTTTAACAAAGATCACACAAGAAAACATCCCATATGTATGTATGTATCTATATATATATATATGTATATGTATATATACACACACAGAGAGAGAGAGAGAATAACTCTATAAAAGTACTAGAAACACAGCAAACATCAAGAAGAAAAGATCAGAAAAGAAACTCCCCCACAACACATAGTAATCAAAACACTAAATGTACAGAATGATAAAAGGATATTTCAAGCTGTAAGAGAAAAAGAATGAAGTAACATATAAAGGCACACCTATTAGAATATCAACTGACTTCACAGTGGAGACTCTGAAACCTAGAAGGCCTGGACAAGATCTGAGAGAGCACAGATGATAGCCAGACTGCTATTCCCAGCAAAACTAACAATCACAATAGACAGAGAAAGAAAAACACTTCATGATTAAAGTCAAATTTAAGGAATTTCTGTCTTCAATCCACTTGTACAGAAGGCACTAGAAGGAATGCTTTGGTCTGACGAGAAGGTTAACTATACAAAAGAAGACATAAAAAATAAGTAAACCAAGAAGAGTTAATTCAAAGAGATGAAAAGAAATCTATACAACAAAATAATGGAAATTAAAAAACACTTCTCATTAGTAACTCTCAGAATTGATGGTCTCTATTCTCCAATAAAAAGACACAGACTAATAGATTGGTTTAGGGAACAGGATTCATCTTTTTTACTATATCTTAAGATATCTACTGTATAATAAGAAACATATCTTCTCATCAAGGATAGACACAACCTTAAGTTTTTCCAAGGAAATGGAACCAAGAACTATGCAGGTATAGATTTATAATATCTAACAAGCAGACAAAAAACCCCACAAAACTAATTAGCAGAGATAGGGAAAGATGTTACATAGTCATTAAAGAAAAAAAATCTACCAAGAGTATATTATAATCCTAAATTTTTATGCACTAAACACAAGGGCACCAAAGATCTTAAAAGAAATGCATTCACCTTATTACACTGGCCCTCACACAGTGATAATAGATGACCTCAGTCTCCAAGTCTCATCAATAGACAGGACATGCACACAAACTAAACAAAAAATTCCAGAATAAAAAGAAACATCATATATCAAATGGACCTAACAGACATTTACAGTCCATTTCACTAAAACACAAAAGAATATACTTTCCTTTCTGCATTCATGAAACTTTCTCCAAATATAATCCCCCATTTTATGACAAAAAGCAAATGTCAAAATATATAAGAAAACTGAAATATCACCCTGCATCTGAGTACCAAAGATTAAAGCCGGATATTATAAAAAACAGAATAGCAGAAAGTATACAAATTCATAGTAACTAAACAACTTATTACTTAATTAAAACTGGATCAAGACAAAGTCCATAAGGAAATTAAAACATTTTTATAATTGTATGAAAATAAGAAAACAACACATCCAAAGCTATGGGATATAATGAAGACAGTTCTAAGAGGCAAGTTCATAGCACATACAAAATGGAAAGATTTCATGTTAGTAACTTAGTGATACACCTCAGAGCTCCAGAAAAATAAGAATAAATCATACCCATAAAAGAGTAGATGAGAATAATCAAACTCAAAAATTATGAAATCTATAAAATAGAAACAACAACACACCTATACAAAGAATCAATGAAACAAAGAATTGATACAAGGAAATTAGTAAGGTTGACAAAATCTTACCAAAATTAACTAAGATATACAGAAAAAAATTAATAAAATTAGATATGAAAGGGGAAGCATTACAATGTATACTGAAAAAATTCAGAAAACTAAAAGGATTTATTTTAAAAAGTTATATTCAACCAAATTGTAAACCTAAAAGAAATGGATAAACTTCTAGATATATATGACCTACCAAAGTTAAGTTAAAATATATTATTTAAGCATACTCATAGCTCCGAGAGAAATAGAATCAGTAACTAAAAATCTGGCCCCTACCTAAATTTCCCAACTCCCCAAAAAGCCCAGGGCCAAATAGATTCATCACAGAATTATTCCAGACCTTCACAAAAAATCTAATGCCAATAATCCTCAAATAATTCTTCAAAATAAAAACTGAGAGAATATTTTCCAGTTCCTTTTACAAAGTCACTATTAGCATGATATCAAAAGTATACATCCAGGTGGTGATGGCATACACCTTTAATCCCAGCACTCAGGAGGCAGAGGCAGGCAGATCTTTGTGATTTCAAGGCAAGCCTAGTCTACAGAATAAATTCCAGGACAACCAGAGTTATTGCACAGAGAAACCCTGTGTTGAAAAAAACAAAACTAACAAACAAAAGCCTCACAAAGGCCCATCATAAAGAAAGTTATAAAACAATATACATTATAAACATATATGCAAATCTCAATAAAATACTAGCAAATGGAGTTCAAAAACATAAGATTATCCACCATGAGCAAGTTGACTTAATCCCAGACATGTAGGGATAATTTAATATAAGTAAACCATTCAACAAAATCCAATACAAATACAGACTAGGAAAGAAAATGCATATGCAGAAATGGCCTTTGGCCAAATCTATCACTTTTATAATGAAGTCTTAAGGAGACTAAGGATACAAGGAACATACCTCAACATAACAAAGACAATGTACAGCAAGTCCACAGTTAACATCACTCTAAAATGGGGAGAAATTCAAAGCATTTCAACTAAAATCAGTCTTTCCACACTTATTTGATACAGTTCTCCAAGTCTTCACTAGTGTAAGACAACTGTAGAAGATCAAGGGGTTTCATGTAGGAAAGGAAGAAGTCTAAGTATCTTTACTTGCTGAAGATATAATTTTATACATAAATGATCCTAAAAACTCCACCAGGAAACAGGAGCAAAACACAAAATTTGCTCACAAAAATTAGTAGCTTACCTATATACAAATGAAAGGCTGAGAAAGAAATCAGGAAAACAAAACCTTTCACAATAGCCTCAAAAAACTCTTGGGGCTAATTAAGCAAGTAAAAGTGATTAAAAAAAAAACTTGAAGATACTGCAGGAAGAAACTGAAGATATCAGAAGATGGAAACTTCCCTCATGCTCATGAATCAGTAGGATTAGTATAGTGAAAATGGGCATCCTGCAAAAAGTTCTTTACAGATTTAATTCAGTCCTCATCAAAATTCCAACACATTACCAGGCAGGACTTCCAGCAGATGGATTGGGACGCTGGCTCAACCCAACAACCTTAGACCTACAGTCTGGCCTGCTTACAGGAAGTATGAGGGATTGGTAACTACCCCATTTGTCATCAGAGAGCCTTCATCCAGGAACTGATGGAAACAGATGCAGAGATTCACAGCCAAGCACTGGGTCAAGCTCAGGGAATCCTGATAAAGAAAGGAAGGAAGGAGGGTATGAGGTGGGCCCGGGGGGGGGGGGGGTGTGAGTCAAGGACATCACAAGGGAACTCACAGGAACCTGGTTCATAGGAGCTCGCAGAGTCTGGGCCAATAGCCAGGGAGCCTGCATGGACCAACCTACGGTCCTGTACATACATGTGACGATTATGTGACAATGCTAATTGTGGACACCTAGTAGTGGAAACAGGGCATGTCCCTATAACTTTGGTTTGGCTTTTGGGAACCTATTCCTCATCCTAGGTTGTCTTGCTCAGCCTTAATACAAGTGAAGGAGCTTAGCTGTGCCTCAGCTTGATAGAACATGCTTTGTTGATACCCATGGGAGGCCTGCCCCTTTTGCAGGAAAATAGAGGAGGAGTGGATTGGGGCAGGGGAGAGACTAGGAGGGTAGGAAGGAGGAGAAACTGCTACTGGGGTAAAATCAATGAATAAACTTAATTTAAAAAGATTAAAGCCTAAAAAATTTCCAACACATTTCTTTACAGAAATTGAAAAAAAAATCATCTTCAACTTAAATTGGAAACACAAAAATCTCTGAAGAGCTAAAACAACTCTGAATAGTAAAAGAACTGATGGATGTATCACTCAGATTTCAAGTTGTACTACAGAGCTATAGTATTAAAAAAAACAACTAATGAGGTCGGCATAACAATAGAACATACTGAATAACGGAATAGAATTGAAGACCCAGACATAATTCTACATACCCTACACACACCCAATTTTTGACAAAGAAGCTGAAAATAGACCCTGAAGAAAAGACAACATCTTCAACAAGTTATATTGGTCAAACAGGATGGCTCTATGTAGGAGAATGAAACTAGATTGCACCCCTCACAACATTCAACCCGGTTAGATCAAAGACCTCCATGTAAGACCAGATAATGTGAATCTGACAGAGGAGAAAGTGGGGACTAGGACTGAACTTATTGGCAGAGGAAGGGATTTTTCAACAGGATACTGAGAATGCAGGCACAGAGATCAACAATTAATAAATGGAATCTCATAAAGCTAAAAGGCTTCTGTACAGAAAAGGACTTGATAACTCAAGTAAAGTGCTAACAGAAAATAAAAAATTAAGCAACTTATAACTGAAAGAGGGTTAATATTTAAAATATATGGACTAAAGTTTGGACACCAAGGAAACAAATCAGCTAAAATGAAGTATAAAACTAAGAGATTTCTCAAAAGATAAAACTCAAATGATGGGGAAACTCTTCAGAGAACTTTAAAGATCCGTAGACATTGGGGAAATGCAAATCAAAACTATTTTGAGACTTCATCTTACCCCAGTCAGAATGGCCAAGATCAATAAAGCCAATAATATCACATTCTGGTGAAAAAGCAGGAAAAGAGGAACATATATCCATTACTGGTACAAGTGAAAACTGGTACAGCATCTATGGAAATCATTGCAGAGGTTTCTGAAAAAGCTAAATGTCATTCATTCTTCCTCAAGTGCCAACTATACCCCTTTGAGGCATGCATCCAAAGGACTCTATACCCTACTGCAGAGATATGTGCTCACTCGTGTGCATTGATTCACGAGAATCAGAAACTGTAAAGAGTCTAGATGTCCAAAGCTGCAGATGTGTAATGAAAATGTGCTACATTTATACAACAGACTACTCTTCACCTGTGGAGAAGGATGAAATTTGCAGATAAATGCATAGAGTTGGAAACAATTACTCTGGGTGAGATAACCTAGACCTCAAAAGACAAATATTGTCTTTTCTCTTATACATGGTTATATGTGTTTTCATTAGAATAATGACAGAAGTTAGGTTAGGACTAAGGAGGAGGAGGTGATCTCCCAAGGAAGAAGAAACAGAATTTAGTGTCATAAAGAAATACAGAACAAAGTAGAATGTGAGGATTAAAGGGAGAGGGGGTTGGGAGGTCAGGGCAAAGGAGGAATATGGGGAAGGACAACTAACACTGAAGGCCATTTGTAAAGCCATAAGGAAACCTACTACTATAGGGGCTTCCTAAAACATATATGAATATAAAAAAGAAATTTAATGGAGTTGCTATATAGTGTGGGAGACAATGACTCAATTAAACATTTCATGCCACCAAGTAAAATCTTCAATGCTAGAAATGGTTCACATTTTGTTGACCCAATGGGCCAAAGTTTACTATAAACTTACCCTCTAGAAATAATAGGTGATTTCTAAGGTTTTTGGTTACTCTCTACAACCTGATTGTAAGGACTGTTGTTGAATACAAAACTTCTGTCTTTAAAAACTCAACCTGGTGCCTTACCAGTAGTCACCCCTACTGACTAGCACTCATGGTACAAGATATTCTGCACACTACCAGAGAACAAAAGAAATAATACCACCAGCTATAACCCTGCAACTGACATCAGTGACCTGAATGAAGGATATTAGTAAATAGTGTCCCAAATGTTATGGGAATAACCAATCACATTTGGCCTTAAGGACCACTCCAAAGGATGAAACCCATTTTTGACTCTGGTAAAGTGGTCAAGAACATGAGGTTAGATTGGTCATGTACCTATGGGAAAATGTAATAATACTGTTACCATAAAGGAACATAACTCTAAAATGACTGCTAGATTTATACTCATATACCCATAGGTAAGCGTATTGCTCAGCCCTCATCAGGGAGCTTTCTTTATGTAGTAGGTTGTAATTAACACAGAGACCCACACAGCTATGTTCAGAGAGTGAGAGACTTTTGAGCACTCAGTACTAAGTGTGATGTCTTCATCAAATCCTTCCCCTCAAGAAGAAGAGGTGAAAAGATCTTAAGAGCCACAGGTGGTGGATAACTCTATGAAAACAGTGTCTTCCAGACGCAACAGGCTTAATAAACATATGAATTCACAGAGAATATGACAGCATGCATAGAATCTGAACAAGTTCAAACTAGACACAATTGCAGCATAGAGAAGGAAAATGATCATGAAGTCCCACCCCCCAGTGGAGAAGGTCTTTGCAATCAATTCTCACTGGGAAAGGGAAGATCAATTTTCTTCACTGGAGTGTCACTGGGTATATCAACTACAGTCCAGGGCAGGCCAATGCCCACGAGTAATTGCCTAACACAAAACCAACCTCATAGTGCGTGTGTGTGTGCATGTGCAAACATTTTGTTACTTTTTGTCTTTCTGGGGTATTTTTGTTTGTCTATTTTGATTTTAACTTTTTGTTTTTGGTTTTGTTTTTTTAGAGTTGGGAGAGAGTAAGTGAGCACACATGAAGTTGGGTGGGTAGGGAGGTGGGGAGAACCTGGGGAAATGATATGATCAAAATATGTTGTATGCAAATTTTGATTTTGAATAGAGAAATACTTGAGGGATGAGCAGATGTTACTGTAAGCTGGTTTGTCACCCTGAAATTGTGGAAATAATCTTATCTAAAGTGACATTAGTGTCTAAAGCAATGGTAAACAAGAAACTCAATTGTAGCTTTTCATAAGCATATTCATAAGAATCAAGAGAACATTCCAATATCAATGAAGAACCCCATGTTAAGTAACACCCTGGAAATACTAAAGTACCTACTAATTGTTTTAGCAGTTTTAGTAGCTCAGTGACAACAGTTATTTGATACCTTTATTTCTTCTCAAATAACTTTTACTATATACATGATGGTTGCAGAATAAGCTTTCTATCACCTTAAGTATCAACGCTCATTTTATGTAAAATCTCATTGAAACTACTAGATATTATGAAGAACCTGGGCACTCAGGGGACCATGGAGACATTTGTTACCAGATACCTACCATGGAAGCCCTTTGTATGTGTAAACCTAAAGACAGCACATAATAATCTCATACTTTGAAATGTTCCTGATGAAGTTTCCTCCAGGCAGGAAAGAATTCCATCACAAATGGGAGGCTACCTTAGTGCCAGAGAAATTTGATTAATATATGTGATTGTATATTTCATTCTTTTGGGCATGCCAGTATTATGCTAGCCTTGTAAAGATAGGGAAATTAAGTTAAACTTCTGAAATATCCCCTAGATCATTTGAATGATGTTATCATTTACTGGTCTTGCAAACTGGCAGCCCACATCAACCCACTAGTGACTGAACTTGACAAGCAGACGTTCGTGAAATGACACATTTGAAACAGAGGCTCTGCTGGGTGGGATCCAATATGAATAGGAGGGTTCATACCTGTGAGCTTGCTCAGGACAGTGTCCAGTTTGGGAAGAATCAAGTTGACCTTTGTCCTGGGTCATTGCCAACTTTTCAGCCGCAGCAATGGGACAACCCGAAAGACTGTTTCAAAAAAAGAAGCGTTGGAGGATGTGAGTGAGCGTGACAATGAGGTCTGCCTTGGCACAGACACTCAGCGCCCTTGGCGTACAGCAAATGTTAAGTCATATTAATAGTTCACTTAGCGCCATTGTCATACAAAAGATCTCAAAGGGTTTACAGATTCAGTGTCTACATTTGTTCCTGACCTCCATCTCAGAGGTGACAACTAGTGAATACATTTAAAAAAAAAAATCAACATGTTATGTAATGGGGAAATACCAAAAAATTCTGAAACTCAGTCTTTTAAAACCAAAGTGCTCATTCCCACAGGCAATTGTCTGACTATAGAAGTGAGCATGAAATCTCCATGCCTACCTTAGGAATTTTAGCAAAATTTTAGAGGCTAAATTTCATATCTTAGTTAAATTGAAGGCACAAATATGAAACTTTTGGCAATATTATTATAAGCCAAACCATAACTCAACCACACAATCCATGTATAATATAAAATGTGTGCATAAAATTAAAATAATTCAGGAATGGAAAGAGGACTCTGTGGTTAAGAACACTGGCTACTTTCCCAGAGGACCTGGGTTTGATTCACAGCACCTACACGGCAGTTCATAACTATCTATAACTCTAGTTCTAGGAAAGTCCACACCTTCTTCTATACTCTGTGGGCACTGCACACATGTGGTACAGAAACATTAAAAAAATGCATGGAAAAAATAAAATAAAATTTTGCTTAAAATATCCACATGTATACACGATATATTTGTATGTAAATACATACAGTGTGCTTTTAGTTTAGTTTAATTTTAGTTTACATTTTAATAAAATTGGCATATATGCCTTGTGTGGTTTACACTCAAAGTCCTATACTTACAAATGTAAAACCCTTCTAAATGTCTGCTGAGTGGGATAACCCATAGGGAGCACTGATGCCAGCCTGTGCATGTTTCTCTGTAGACATGAGGCCTGTGCATCTTCCAACACAACTGTTTCATTATTTAGTTGACCACTAATGTAAATTTTTCTGAGGTTGAGACTTCTTGGTAGCTATTTCAAGAGGTAATATTTAACAATGACACACCAGGTCTCTCAACCTGTGGCCTATTATTTCATTTGTGGAACGTTTCTTTTGCACTTTGCAACGTAAATTATTGGCAAGTTATCAGAATACCTTCTGTGAGTGTTGCGATTGCTGTTCACATGTCCCCTTCCTGTGCATCCTGGGGTGGGACACTTGAGCACATTCTCATGCATGGCAAGAACTAAGCATAAAATATCATGTTAAAGGTAAGAACAATTTACCATACGTACATACATACATTATATATAAGATAGCATCAAATTTACTTCTCCATTTTACACTCAAATGACTTCACATAGGCAGTTCCCCATGATTCTTCCTGGAATGTGTTCATACTGAACAAAAACCCCTCATAACTTCAGAAAGAAAACCCAGAAAGTTAGTTCATGTCTAAGCTCCTCTGACTGTCAAACAGTTTCAGCCCTAGATACCCTGCCCCTGTCCTCTGTGGTTCTGGGGCCACGAACACACGTGCTGGGACAGAGCCTGCTGCCTCTCTCTTGTCTGACCTGAGAAGCTCGTTAGTCACCCACTAAGGACATTTCCCTACAGCAGCAGAGATCTTGTTTTTCCACAAGTTCCACAGCTCTTTCAATCCTTTCACCTTAACCTGGACGGTTCCTAAGTGGTCTCTTTTGCTTCTGTCCATCCACCCTCCCCTGCCACGTGACTACTGGTAAGAGTAAGTCTGAATGAAGGATAAGAGAGTTAGAGCAAGGAACTGTTAATACTGCAGTTAGATCATGTGAAAAACTAGCGATTCTCCAAATCCTGACAGCCGGGGATGTCAAGGTATCCCCACTTTTACTTATGGGGTAGCCCAAGAACTGTCCCAGTAATAAGTTGAGAAATTGTGTAAGATCCCAGTGTTTCCAGCTAATCTGTCCCTTCTCTTCTGTAGCCCAAAGCACTGAATAACTACAGCAGGGATGAGGGAGGAAAGGCTGCTGTTGCTCCAGGGGGCTCAGATGGGACAGAGCCTCCTGAGAGAACTCTAAGGAGCATGTGATCTCATGGTGAGGGCAGGTTGGGAGGTCACTACTGCTGAAATTACTGTTCTTGAACTTTTCTAATAAACTATGTTTTAGAACAATAGCTAAACTTGGCATGGTAGAGGAAGACGCCTGAGGGCTGCAGGAGCCAGACCTGGTCTCAAAGTTAGAAACAAATAAACGCACAACCACCTCTCAAAGAGTTGCATGGAGATTGCTTAACATGTGAAGATAGATTATGTTTCCATTCTAGTTCTAACCAGAAGGAAGGGGGGACGGCCGCATGAGGTTGCACTGTGTGGATGATGGCATAGGTGTGACCTCAGAACGAGGGATACTCACTTTCCAGAGGAACTCGCACTTTGTGGGGGCACCCGGAAAGGCTGCGATGGTGGGGATAGAGCCCAGTTACGTGCCCCGTGCCGTCACAGCCAGGGATGGGGCACTTGGCCTCCCTCCTTTCAGGCCTTGGCGAATCTAAAGAGAAATTGAATTGAGACACTCACACGGTGCTTCCTCCTCATCACTCAATAGGGTGGCCTTGTGGGGTCACTCACACTCTATTCAGGTTCGCCATCATAAACATTCTTCTTACGTTGCCTTGAATAAAACCCTCAACTAAGACCCGTGGAAGCAAAACACATTTTTAATTTTCTTGGATTCCTAAGCAAAGGCTGCCACAGGGCAAGGGACTGTTAAAACACAGAGATGGATTTAAGTTGTCATGTCACATAATGGAGTTAAGTCTTTATTATGAAAAGTCATCCTGTGCCAGAAGGTGACCATGCTCCTGGAAAAAAAAATAAAAAGAAGAAAAGCAAGAAAGGAGAATTTATTTAACCTCAAGCCATTCTCTTTTGAAAGAGTTTAGAGAAAGACAGATTTAAAATTACAAGACAAAGAGCCCACCATATAGGCAGATGGCCTCTCTGGCTTTGTCCTTGTGGGTCCCTGGCAGCAGGTGAAGTTGGGAGGGTAGACCAGCTACTCACATACAAGTTGAGCTGGCTTTATGCAGAGCAGCTGATGGGAATCAATAGGCTGTGTCCTATACAAGCAAGTGGAAAAAAAATATCTCCAAGAACCTGTGCCCCCTAGGGACAAACTCTCGGGAGTAGGTGAGGTGACCACAGAAGGATGCTGTGGTCACAGCTGCAGAAATTCGGAGTTGAGGTGATGGAGAAGACTTTGAAGGGAAGTGTTTGAGTGTAGCATCTGAGGAGAAGGAAAACTTATCGGGCTTCCCAGCTACGGTAGCACTCAGAACCTGTGAGGGTGGAGCTCCCAGGAATGACAGTTGCCACAGGATAGGAGCCAAAGATGGAAGGGATGAAGAAAATGCCAGGAGTTTGATTTCCTGGTACTCAGGGTGTTGAGAGAGAGGCTTATAAATAAATGCATAACATGAGTGCAGAATAGGAATATGGATGAGGTTGGCATTGACATGCACAGACATATGCATATATTCGTATAGGAGCACACACATGAACATGTGTACACACATGCATCTGTGCAAACACACATGTGCATGCATGCACATAGACAAACATGTGCATACACACATGAACACACACTTACATCCATGTGCACATATGACACACAAACATACAAGCATACATGTACAATCATATAACACATGCACACACATGCATGCACATATGGTCAAACTGGTAAGTAAATGACACAGAAATGCTATCTTATGGTCCAAACTAACCCAACTTGAGCTCAGGATGATACTAATCAGGAGAAATTGTATGTTCGTGTGTATGTGTGTGTGTGGTGGTGGTGGTCAGAAAGCTAGAAGCATGTGGGTACTCAGAGAAAGAAGCAAAAACAGCCTTCAGGAGGGATGTGCAACTCTCAATGTGGACCAACAAGAATACTGAGCAGATGTGAGGCCCACGGTGACAATAAGTAATCTATGAGACCCTGCTCGTGAAGCTGCTGGCCTGGAGTAGGTGAAAGGGCCCTGTCATGTGGGGATGGGAAGCTCACACCCTCCTGCTCTAAGGAAACCACCCAGAGCAGGTCACGGACATGGGATGTGTCAGACATTTCCATGGCTCTACACCGCATGAACAGACGTATCTCTGTAAAACCAAGTCATTCCAGTTGTTAGATTACAAGCAGTTCTAGGCAGATGGGGCACAGCAGGCTGTGTGTAATCCAATTACATGGGGGCATGGTTTCAGAAAAGAAGGAGGGGCTGAGGATCCCCCAAGTTGTAGCCAGCACTGACAGTTTAGGACCAGTCAGGAGGCTGAAATCAGAGCACTGCAAATGCACAGAGAAGGACCAAGGGCAGGGATGCTGGGAAACAGCATTAAAGACAGATTTAACTAAAATGACGGATGTGGAAGGATGCTCCTTTCTGTACTCTGTAAGAGAAAAGAAGGATATTCAGATTGTGATGTTCTAGGACTTGGTGCAAACAAGTTTTACTTAACAGTAATGTAATGCCAAGTTTCAAGTCCTTCTAGGCATGTAAACCCTGTAGGTAAAAGTCTTTGAAGTTTGATAGAAATGAACCGAGAGGTTTGACACCATTGCAAACTGCCACTCACGGAGAGGAGAGAAACCACTAAGTCTGTTTTGATGTGCCTCCTCTCTTGGATCTTGTCCACATGACACCACATTTCTAAGCACTGACAGGGCTGGCGGGGAGCACTTCCCCTCTTCGGCACACTGTGCGTCTGAGGGAAGCCAGGAAGGGTGTTGGAGATAACAGGGCTGGCACCTGCCCAGGTGGGGCCCACTGACAGTCCACCATACCCCTTTGTCTGCGGCTCTCTCCTGGGCCTCCTAACACAAAGCTGCAGATGAAAATGCTCTGGAGGGCAGAACCTGTTTGCATGATAAGAAACCTGAGCACTGGCTCAGGGCAGCCGCTCAGCCTGCCTCTTCTTTCATTTTCTTTGTATAGTACTACACAATGAAGGGCCTTCATCCTCCAGTGCTGCTGTGTCCTGGTTTGCCTGGGACCGTTCTCCTTCATCCCAGGCAGCCTTGCCCCATTGTTCCCCTTGCTCTTCTTACTTGACAAGGGCCACATGATAGGTAGCACAGCACCCACACTGCAGCCTCATCTCTGAATGTTCCAGAGCAGAGTTTGCAAACTTACTGGAGCCTTCCTGACCCCTCTGTGAACTTGGGTAGGACGACATGTTAAAATCTTAGTGTTCTGTCCTTAACAGTGGAGTCCATGAGCAAGGTGTCCGCCAAATCGGAACAGTATTTTTAAAGAAGGCAGCAAATGACAGCTTGAACGAGCACTTACAAACAGAGAATGCAGGTCCAAGAACAATCCGCCAGATTCCCGATTCTAGGAGCATCAAGCAAAGGGTGTATGAATGTCGAGTGCAGACTCTGTGGGTACCAGTATCCATACACAGACAGCAACCCGGATCCCACCTTCCATGCTTGCCTCAGCTGAGCCTGGTCACCTTTCAGGGGCTTTGAAACCTAAAGCAATGCCAGGCCTCTGCCACACGACATCCTGTTAATTTATCTACTCTCCCCAGTAGTGCCCTAAGCCACTACACTACCAAGTGTTGCTATACACACCCTATTGTGTTACTAATTTTGAAAATATAAGATGATTTAAAAACGTTATAAAATAACCAAAAACCATCAAGCATTTGAACTTACGGTTGAAATAAATTTCTACACACCTGGGATTTCACTGCCTGAAAAATATTATCAGTTGAAAGCTATAACATTATTTTATATGTGATTTAAAAAAAAGTTGAAGGTTAAACTGTTGCATGCCCTTCTGATTTCAAGGATGGTAAACAGGAGAAATATAGACCTCAAAACCAACAAAATCTGACTTAGATTGAAGTGCATCCTTTTTACAGATTTTGTAGTTTATCTTTATAAAAAGGTAAATAAGGAAAAATTAAGAAATTAATTACTGATATAAAGAAAGTCCTGTCTGCAACTGCACATTTCTCGTTAGCATCCTGCTCCATCCCACTCACACCTTCCTTACTATACTTAGTCTTTCTACTTTCTCAGAGTCGCAAGGCATTGTTAAGTGGCAGGTAAGTATCAACAGCGACTTCAGATTATCAAACAATTCCCTTGTGCATCACTTTCCCCAGTTAGACCTTCTGACCACACAGATGTTATTCCTCCAAGCCCTCAAGATCAAGGAGCATGGTATTCCCTTATATGTTTCCATGATTCTGTGGTCATCAGATTCCAGGGGTCCAACAATCCACTGAAAACAACAAGAACAATAACCACACTCTTTGGAGGTCTGAATCTGACCAGCCCTGGGCATAGCCATGTTAAGTGTTCCTCTGGGCACCTGTGAACTACTGGGAGTGACTACTAACAAACATTACAGGCTTCGAGTGTGAGAACAGGCATAGTCCTCCAGCAGGGGAGATACATCATTCCCCTGATGTTGGGAGAGCAATCTAAGGTCTTCTCCAAGTACATCCCCCTGCCAATTGAAGTCTGACCAGGTATCTATGGGCTGTCACTGGAGAGCTGGGAAATCATCATCTTACAAGTAGATTAACACCTGGCTTAACCGTAAGGAGCCTCAGAACATCCTGCCTGGCTTACCAGCGACGTGATGTTTTTCATTTTGAAGCCTGAAAGCAGCCCCATAATCCCAGAACAAAATAGCGAAAGAAAAATTAAATTCTAGACTCGATTTGCCTAATGAAATAAGTTAAAGTCTTAAATAAAATATCCAGTCAAGCATTGTTAAAAGGTCTGGTGCGATTCTGCACAGCTAATCCAATGAGAAAACTGGAGAGGATAAATGTGTCAGGTGTTAAGACACCAAAGCATCCACAGACCCTGAGCTGACAGTGAACAAAAGAGTGGTGGCAAAGTAAGAAATGACAAGTTTCATGATTATGAATTGATTTTTAAATTACATTAAGTCGTCAAAAGGCTAATTTAGAAGGAATAGGCGCACTTAAAATTTTCAAATTCTAAATCACCTTACTTCCTGCAACGAATATAAAAATGTGCTTACGTTTATTGTTAAAGATTTGTCTTCCACCAGTGTCAGTAACCTTGGGTTGCCTCCGCTCCCTCACCAGGTGGTCCAGGAGAAAGCAGTCCAGCTCCTTGTAGGTGTGATGGAAGACAGAACCTCGTTCAGACTGCAGAGCAATAGCTTGCTCTAACAAACTCAGGTTCCCCTTCACTTTATCCACTTCTCCAGGCTCCTCTGTACTGGGGACCAGGCTCTCACCATCTTCAGCCTCTGGGAAGGAAGGCCGGGCTTTGACAGCCAAGGGTTCCGTGTGGGAGTTCTGTGGGTCACTCCCTTCGGCGTCGGAATCAGACCTGTTCTCACATGGGGCAAATTTGTCACCTTCAGCTTTTATCTCAGGAACCTCCAGCAGGTCTTTTTTGGCGTATGCCGGCTTGTGTTTGTGGCCTCTGTGAGGGTCCGTGTCTTCTGAGGAAACGGAGCCTCTGCCCCATCCATTCTCGGCGCCGTCAGAGTCACTTTCACTGTCGCCAGAGGAGCAGAAAGGTGGCTGGGAGCTGAAGACTTTGTCCCTTCCATCGTCTGAATGGCTCGTACAGCACCCATCTGCCTCGTCACTCTCTGCTTTTAAAGACTGGATGCCACTGTCGTTTAAGTTTTCTCTTATGGTTGGCACAGACACGCTTTCTTCGTATTTGTCTAGGTGCATTAGAGATTTACCCATGAGCTCTGGATAACACGCATATTGGTCTTCTGTCTGGAGCGAGTTTTCTTGAGCAGGTGAATGAAGGGTCTCCTCTACAGGCTTTACCATGTTTCCCTCTACAAGAAAAGAAAACAGAAAGCAGAACAAAAAAATATTTAAAGGGCCTGGGCAAAGTGACGGGAATCTGTAATCCCAATATTTAGGAATCCGAGGAAGGAGGTTAGCATACTCAAGGCTAGTCTTGACCACAAGTGAGATCCTACCTTTAAAATGTAGCCAATCAACCAAACAAGAAAGCAAAAATATTTTAAGGAGCTTCCATAACTACTTACATACATATGACCTTATATACTTGTGTATATGTATAAATCTGCATGTATATATGCATGGATACTGGTATGCCTATAAAATATGCATAATGTGGAATGTTTATTAATTTTGCAAACATTGGTGAGAAAAATACAAATGAAATAAAATAAGATTAGTACTTTACTAATCTTCTGCATATGAAGAGCTAAGTCCTTTTAGGGTACTATTATGACAGAGGTTGGTACTTCCGCAACAGCGCCACAATGAGGTTCCTACTGTTACACCCCCTACATCTTAGCTGCCAGAGGGACCTTGAATATGCATGCTACACACTGCAGGAAAATGCTCATCAAATTTCTATGGATCATGGCAATGTGTTTTGGGGGCTTATTTGAATTTTATTCTTTGTAGTTTCTCAGAAATGATCTCAGTGTTTATGCAACGTTAACTAAGATACACACACCTATATATGGATTGTAACTGAGGAACTCAGAAGCTCTCAAGTCTTCCTTTTCAGTGTCAAGTTACAAATCTATATTTGGGGAAACATAAATGGGATAATCATTGGGCTTTGGTGCTTTAAATAGTAATACATGTTCTTGTCTGACATGTGCATGTATATGTGTTATAAAGAAAAGGAAATGAGAGGGGGAGTTGGTTTGAGGGTGTCAGATGTGAACGACTTGGATCCTGTGGCCAAGAGAAGACCTCCAAGGGTCCAGTCCACTCCACAGCAGCTGTCAGTACCACTCATTTCCTTGTTTTGTTGTATGTATGTATGTATGCATGTATGGTAGGTTTACCAAAGCTGCCCCCATGCAAACTCTCCAAAGGAGAATCCAAACTACATGCATTCTCCATGCCCACCAGGCTGTAAAATGTACTAAACAGCCCACCACGAGTCTGCTAACATCTGCCAGAACAACAACAGAATCCAACAAGACAGGTGGGGGATGGGAAACATAAAATGATAAGCCCCCTTAAATACTGGTAAAGACAACAAGTGAAGTGCCTCCTGGGCTAATAAACATCTTTGGAGGAAAGTACGGCCATCAGCATGAAGCTGTGGGAGAGGGTGTCTGCCTGGAAGACAATGTGCATTTTTTTTTTTGGTCTCATTCAATTTTTTATAAACATTGTCTCTGACAAGGACACTCAAAAATACATCTCCATCATCTTCCTTTCTGGTAATTATCTCCCTAAATCAACACTGGACTGCCAGGATCAAGTAAATATTGCCATAGTAACTAAAAGCATTTTTGGATGCGGAGAAGAATTCAGTCACAACACTAGCCCCTGTAAATAATGCTGATTATAGGGTGCAGTCTTTTGTTGGGATCTATTCAACACAAACTGAAAAATTTAACATTTCAGTTCCTAGAAAAGAGGCTGTATAAACAAGCACATAACGTTGATAGGATGAGCCTATCCTCTCCTGAGCCTACATCAGAGCAACTCCAGCTTTAAATAATATATTAAACATAGTCTAAAATGCAAATGAAGTTTTTCTCAATATCACAGTTGGCTATTAAGAGAAAGTGTAAAGGGTTATGATAATTTTAAAGTATTATGAACTACAGAAAACAAATAAAAAGCATTTTCAGTGAATATGCTCAATTCATTGAACTATTCTCTCACTCCACTTAACTACCCACATGTGTACAATAATGATTTATAGACATTATACCTAATTATGCATATTTGGGCTGTGTTAGAGTGCTAACAAAAGCTCTAGAAAGCAACAATTACCTCTGTTGCTTAGCTACATAGTTTAAAATATTCCTATTAAGTGCAGCTCACCAGAGAGGCAGGGTGACAAACTCACGCATGTGCGCGACAATGCACTGCACTGAGTGACTGCCAACTACTTCATTTCGGGTCATTTCCAGTTTACCTCATTGTTTGGTTCAACTGTTTGCTATATGCTAAAAGAAAATATTTATTAATTATTCCTTAGAAAGATAGAAGCCCCAAGCCAGGGGTGTCCACACTGTCACATGCATTGGTTTCTAGGGATAGTCCAAGCCACAAATCCACATTCCTTTTTCTGAAAAGCCTTCCTAGATCTCACCGTGGGCAGGAGAAAAACCCTAAGTTAGCATTTGACATGACAGATCAGTGACAAGGTGCCGGTTCTCCCAGTTTTGCCACTGGCCCCCTCTTCTCTCTATTTTGCAATATTGTTTTCCGAAAGAGTAATAAGGTCTGTTGCAGAGGGGAGGAGCTTGAGCTCTGTTGTAAGTGTCTACGCTTGCTGAGCAGGCTGTTCCGTTTGTTTGAGCCTGGGGTTTTCATTTGCACTGTGAGGACTGTAACACAGCCTGCGCATCACTGCAGAGATCACAGGAGCCCACAAAACTCAGTAAGTGATGGCTCCCGCCCCCTTTTCTCGGGTACTATTTAAAAGACTGTAACATCAGGGGACTAGCGGACTCCTCAACGTGACCATGCTAGGTCTACTTTCATCAGTAGAAGTCATTCCTAAGGAACAACAGAGGCTGCACAGACGAAAGCTCAGCAAGGTGGGCTTTTCATATAAGCCTTTGAGGACTGGAGCACAGACTGGCATCTGCCCTCAGAACTGGAAGCTGGGGCACAATACACAAACACATGAGGTCTAGAGACTGCATATGCCATTGGCAAAGACCATCTGCTTGCGTGACTCTAGTTAGCTCTTGCTCTCTGGAGCAAGGGTTTTCATCTTCAGAATGAGGATGGACCAATGACTAGATGATCCTGTGACCCTTCCTAGGACAGTGAACTCATGTGCCTAGCACAGTGCTCCATTATCTATTTTACAACACTACACAGTGCTTTCCAGTCCATCTCCCAGAGAAACTGCTGTTCCAGGTCTGCCGAGGCTTGCTCAAGACCACACAGCTATTCAGGAGAGGGCTGAGTACAGACCAGGGTTCACATGGTTTGAAGCCTGTGTCCTTGTTTCTGTTACCTAACCCAAGTATCCCACAGGCTAGAAAGCCTTACTAGAGAAGATGTCTCATGTAACACAGCCATTTTCAGGAGATGATACTAAGAATGTAAATAGCCAAATGCTTTTCTAAATTGAAACCCTTTTCATAATAAATTTATAGGAAGACATTTGAATGTACTTCAAGTTAATTTGGGTTAAAAAAGAACAATGATCCTTAAGTTATTGGTCAAAAATGCAAATATAAACAAAACTCTCATGCAACACAGACCTTAACTTTGCTAATACTACAAAGATGGCAAATTGGGAACACTAAGGTCAACTTCCAGCAGGTAACAGGCTGGCAGTTTCAGAAATGACCTAAGCCTTTCTCTGTCCTGTGTGAACGTCTAAGCATGTATGGTTGGCAGTAGTTTGGGCTGGGAAACTTTCCTTTGTGTAGTTAAAAAAATACAGTTTTGTCTGGTATATAAAAGTTCAATTTAGTTCCTGACTGTAGACCAAGGTTTCCATGATGAGTTGTTGGTAATCCTATACTTAATTCATAAAATTTCACATCTATCTATCTATCTATCTATCTATCTATCTATCTATCTATCATCTATCTTTTCTCTGAACTCCTCTGAAAATGCCACTGAGTTTGGAATGAACTTCTTAGTGTGACTGGGTCTTATAGACACTGGATTCAGTTTTGCTTCTATATCCAGGAAGGACACTTTTACAGGTAAATTCATTTATTAGAGATTTTGAATATGAAATTTGGGCAGGAATAAAAGCCATAGAAAAATAAATTTATCTTCTAAAATTCTGAGACTGGAGTGGTTTGTTCTTTACCTTTTTATTGAAGATGACATATTATAAGTGTAATTTCAACCCCTAGAAGCTTCTGTGTCTTAGGCAGGTATTCTCAGGTCTGAAGCACATGGTCATGCTGCTGGGAACTCCATAATGGGTATACTTTGAACCATGATGAATCATTCTGTTCCAGGAGTTTAAGTTTGTCTTGCTTCCTGGTGTTCACCTCCCCAGGCAGGAAGGAATTTCTAGCTACCCACAATAGTGGCCACATGTAGTTTTTGAGTCAGGTTAGAGCGTGGGGTACAGTCTGAGTCAAACAGAGGAATGAAACACAGAATTCAAGAGCATGACCTTAGCCTTCCTGGGTCCTTTATATTCTCAATATCTGAGTGGTCCAGCTGAAAATACAACTAGACAGACTCCTGCTAAGGCAAAGACAATGAGGAGCCTGGATCAGAGGAGCACTGAAGTTAGGTGCTCTTCTGTTACACTGAGCACTAGGCTCGGTACCCTCTCCTTCTGTGGCTGGCCTTAAGATTTCTCAAAAACTGAAGGCAAATTAAAATCTTTTCTCTCTTGACCTTGGAGAGGGACATTCATGGCTTGTCATTTTTTAGAAATTGTAGCTTCATGTAGACATTGTGAAAACTTTGCCCAGTATGCATTCTGAGGGGAGTATGGGCAGGGGCCTGAGCCTGCAGAGAAACTGAGATAGAGATATTTTGCTTGCTCTTTAGATAGTCTACTAGGTACTTTCTCCCCAGTCTGCAATCTGTGCTACTTTCAGAATTAACTCTTTTTGGTGTTTAATTATTTCACCTGTAAAACCAAGATCAAGGTTCTACATACTATGTGACACTGTAAAATGAACTAAATGATGCCGTTTATATGTGTGCAACATATAAAGAGATGAAAATTAATTGTCACCATGGAAATTTCAGCATCACTATCACTAGTAGTTCTAATAGTAAATGCAACCATCAGCCTTTGTAAGCCTGCATAGATGCCTATAAGTGCTTATGACTAAATATTTTACTGGATGTATGTGAACAATATTCTCTTAACTGATAATCAACATTTATGATGATCAAATTGTTAGAGCAGGAGGTGGGAGGCCCGCAGACCTGATAAAGTCTTTGGCTCTAGGACAAGCTGCAAGCAAAGATCCCAACTCCACAGTGGTCCAAGAACACCTAAGATCAGATTTCATCTGTTATGTCCATGAATCAATACATAAAAGTGACCACATCAAGGAAACTGAAAAAGTTAAAGATGATTACAATTTAAATATGAGCCTTGATGCTGAAAATCGTATACTATGAGAAGTCTAAAATCGCCATTATCCATCCACCAACCAGAAGACAACACTGTTTTAGCCGTGGAATCTTCAATAATTTGCCAAGATAATGAAGATTCTCTGACTGAGAACATCCTCAGTCAATATGTTTTTATATTTTTAAAAATAATGTCTAGGACTATTTCTAGAATTTTACTTCCATTTGTTTAAGTTTTCAAGTAAATAATTAACTTATTATTATGCTGATTCCCTAAATGTCACATTTAGTAAAAGGTATATATTTAATATATTTAAGGGTATATATTTAATATATTAATGTGCTTGTCTCATTCCAGATTTATTAGTCAAGCCTTATAACTTAACCTTTTCATAGGTTTTGAGGATGTTTTTGCATGTCTGACACCTTAGTCTCACTCACAAACCAATCAACGACACTTCAACTTGTGGATGCAAGTGATTGCCAGCAACCGAGATCTAGGAAGACACAAACTCTAAGTCCCTAGAGTAGAAGCTACGTTTCATTCATCCTGAAAAAGATGTCTGAAAAGTGAGCCAAGGATTGAATCAACGTATTATAAAGATAAGCTTAAATGACTTATTTTAGAACACAGGCACAGAGATATCTTCTCTATGTTGCTCTCCCACTGAAGAAGCCTCAAGGATAATCACCTTAGATCACTGCTGCAATCTATTGTTCTAGTATTATTTGAAGATTATAAAAATATGGATGTCACAAAACACCTACATTGAGTCCTATTATTACTATTATATTTTGGGGCTAAATAATATTTTACATAGTGATAAAACAAATTATGTATTAATGTTTTAGCAATATACATAGGCTATATATATATTTATATATATCAGCAATGAACATTACATTTACCTTTGTCATTGAAAAGTTGTCTTAAAGCTTAAATATGTCCTGCAATTTGAAGGGTTCTTTTAGAAATTAACACCTACTCAGACATACTCTTTAGCTTTAAGGCTTAGTATCTTCTACTTTCTACACAAAGAGGCATAACCTAAACATGACTTGGAGTGAGCTCAGGCCATCATCAAGCTGTGTCTACAGACCTTAAATAGAATCTGAGTAAAATATGTAGGGCCTTAATAAGTGAATATTGAGTGAAACAAGTGTTTGGCTTTTGGTTCCTAAAGCCAAATATACTTAACAGCCCTAGTAACTGTATATTCTACAGAATAAGAATGACGTCAGGTGACAGGAATATATAAAGTTTGGGCCATGCCTTTTTGCTACCTGCAGTGGAGTGATCATTCGTCTCTAAGAGGCCATCATCCTCATTCCTGTTGTCCGGGTTTCCCTTGCAGTCCACATCTGGGCTGTAGTGCCGTGGTTTCATTAACAGGGATTTCCGCTTGTTAACTGGCACCCCCAGTGCCTGCTTTTCAGCTCTCCTCTTCTTCGCCATAGAGCAATCATATGCAGCCCTGGATTGAGCAGAGCAGGGCAGATTAAGACAAGATAAAATGCAGTCGCTGCTGCTTAACATTTGACTTTCACCAAGTCTCACCCAAAGCACTAGGCCCGGGAGTTAGGGTTCATCATTAGTGCTAACAGTCTGCTGAGAATTCCTCTTTACATGGGGAGTATTTCAAAACTTATCCTTGATACTGTGTACGCATATGCCAATCCGGGCTTTACTTTTTCACATACCCAGGAAGTGAAATAAGACATGAACCAGTTTGTAAGCCCCGAGAAACAGAAAAAAAAAATACCCCCAGGTAGAAAGAACGTGCAGTATGGTAAAACCATGGGTTCTCCAATAGTAACACAACACTAAAATTGCTTATTTCTGCCATTTTCATGCCTCCAATTTTTGATACCACAGGTCTTAGGCCCTGATTTGACTGAAAGAGCAGTCAAGCAAGGGAACGAGCTGTGGACATTTCACCAGCCCATCTCCAGTGACACAGAAATGTGGAGGGTTGTTACATAGACATGTGTCTTTGGATTCTCACTCATTTGGTGCATCTAACTAACAAAAGGAGGATGGATAAGATTTGATTTCAGAAAAATGGCCAACAGTTTATCCTCATTCCTGGTCTCACATGGTTCTGTTTGGAAATGCTCCCGAGAGAGACCCTTTCAACACAGATTTCCTCCACACACCTCACTTAGAATTAATGCAGATTACTGTGTGAAGTTAAGAGAATGGCTCTCCTGGCATGATCTGTGAAGATCAGAGGATCCTGACAATACTGTGTCGCCGGCAGATATTGTTAAATGCTCTTTGAAGATGAATGAGCGAGTGCCACATGAGAAAAATCCAAGAGCAAGAATCCTGGAGGCAGAGAAACAATTTACTAACCCCAGCTCTGAAAAAGAAACTGGCCAGAAGCCCTTGCCTCCATTCTAACTTGAACACTATACAGAGATGATGACATATTCAGGAAAACAGTTCAGGGAAGTCAGATACACATTCTTAATATAAAAAAGTAGATGAAAAAACATCCAAGCGAGGAAAGAGAAAAAAAGAAAAGAAGAACCTGGAAGGAGAGAGGAATAATAGTTACAAACACCTCAAAAAAGATTCAAACTAGAAAACTAAAAATTATACAGATAGGAAAAAATGAGTAAATTCTCCTAAATAAACTAATGACTTTTTTTTTACATATTTGGACCCAGGTTTAAAGTGAAGGAGTACAGGAAATGCAGGAAAGGAAAGGAATTCTGACTAGATGATAAGGAGAGCCTCAGACAGCCTGGTAAGAGGACCTGCAGAAAGTGGAGAACTATTTGGACTGAAGCTGCATCCTATGCTGGTGGAAAGAGAATGGGGACAGGCAGAGAGACAGACAGAACTGCCCTGACACTCACTGTCCAACAAGGAGCTCACTTTGAAAGGACCAGTCAAAGACATGAAGATGAGGTAAGGGGTAACAGGTGTGTGAAAAGTTCAAAAAATTCTCAACGTCTCTCTCATTGAAAGATCTCAGAACACATTCAGATAAAGTTGCCAAGACCTTCTCAGAAACCAGGGAAATTTGTAGAAAGTAGGAGAGACTCTTCTGCCATTTAGGTGACAGAAAGTGCATTTTAAGAATTGGAGTGATTTAAGTTAGCAATGGAGAAGAAACTAACAAAAGATTTAATCAGGAAGGCTCCAGATTTAATTCTTTTCCCAGAAATTGGATTGGTGAAACAATGGTGACTCTGTTTTTGAAGAATTGTGATATTGATTTGAATGTTGTGTGTATCACTATTTATAGTGACCAATATGTGGAAAGACCTCAGCACCATAGCAGATGAATGGACAAATAAAATGTTTATAATACACTATGTACAATTCAACTTCAAACAAGAAAGAAATGTTGTTGTATTTATCAACATGGATATACTTTGAAGATGTGTATTACACTGTGTAAAATAAGTCATAGACACAGGAAGAAAAATGTCCATAACTTCTTTTAGAAATGAGGAACAGAGTTAAACTTTAAAATTAAAGAAATAGTGGTTGTCTTAACTGACCAGGGAATTATTCCCTTACTAGCTAGCTTTTATAGTGCCAAAAAGTTCTATGTAGGCTGCTGGGGGTGGGGCTGGAAGACACCAATGGTCTGTCCCAGTTCCTACCTGCCAAGGTGTGTTCAGGTTGCAGTAGTGGTGTGGATATTATAGGAACAAACAGCCACTTCCTGATTTGCTATGATATCTGGTTCGCAGATTTCATGCCTGGTACTATAAATTTGGTCAAAAAACTCAAGTCTTGGGAGATCTCAGGCCCTAGTGGGGAAACTGTCACTGTTATTATGTTAAATACTTGTGCTGTTACATTGCCTTCTTGTACCCATAGATTTGCTGTACTCAACTCTGATTGGGGAAGATTCCCCTCTCCTCAGTGGATAACAATTAATGAAGAAACTTAAAATTTGTTAAATAATGAAGCATAAGTAACTGAAAGAGCTTAGCTGTGGATGAATAATCTATATCAACCTCCCCTTTCCAAGGTCAAGGGAGCATCACTGAAGAATGGATGGAAAGAAGGTAAGAGCTGGTGGATAAGGAAGAAAGCTGTGAAATATTGACTTCTAGACTGGACAAGGCTGTTACTCATATCAGCTTACAGCAGCTCTGGTTCCTTCCACAAGAACGGTCCAATATGAAATCAGCCAAAATTCTTATTTGAACGTGAGGAAGCGCCAAAGAGGCTTCTTGTGGAAGCAGCCATTGGAAGCTAAGGGTTGCTGAGAGAGGGGGACATCACTGCTAAAAGGTAGTCAATGTCCCAGTGGATGGCACCACTCAGGCACACTTGGGAGCCACTAACTGGACTTGGGATCATTAATAACAAAAAGAAAAGAAAAGATAAGGACTTGAAGTTGTAAGATGGAGTCTGAGCACTAGGAGAAGTTGGCAAGAGGTAATGGTGAATATGCATGATCAAATATATTATATAAGATGTATGAAGATTTTAAAGAATAAATAAACTTAAAAAAGAATAGTGGTTGGTTTGTGTTGAAGGACAGAAGTGAAGAATTACCAATAAGCAGATACGAAACGTTAATTGAAAAAAATTAAGAAGCCTTTCTCAGGTCAACAATATGCACCACACATACACATCTGTGTTTAAAAAGGCAGGGCGCATGTGAAGCGGCATTGCTATCATCACATTTAAGACGAAGGTGGTGAAGGAAGAGATTTACTGACACCAGCAGCCATTTGTCATGTTCTAGTTAGGAAGGACTAATCATCCAAGAAAATATTTCTTTCTTTAATGATGGGGGGATGCACACATGTTAACTAGTCCTCCAGACTTTATCCTTTTAAATATTATCATATACCATTACTCATTTATGCAGAAAGTGGCAGTCCACAAACAAACAAGCAAAACTGCTAACTGATGGTACTGACAGATGTGCAGAGTCTCACGGCTTATTTTATCCTCCATATTGCCAGACCAGAACAATAGATTTGGACAAATTCTCTGTGCAAGTTACAATATAAAGGAACAGAACTCCCTAACTGAAGGGAAGGCGTTGACTCGGGGCTTTGCTAGGGATTTTCAGGTGTGCCTGTGTGGCAGCTGTTTTATCTAGAGATGATATTGAGCTGCAGCAACTGAAAAAACAACAGCATTGCAAAGGTTGGGGAGACCTCTCCTTGGCTCTGAGCAGGTGCTGCTCAGGACCCGAATTTAGCCCCTAGCATCCACATAGGACTGTTTACAACAGCAAGTAACACCAGCTCCAAGGGGTCAGAGACTTGCTTCTGTATGACACTGGCCCTTGCTTGCACATGTGCACACACTCACACCCAGACATAGACATAGAAACATAATTCTGCTAACATAAATATTTAAAAAAAATAAAATCTGATTAAATTGAAGAAGTAACTTGGCCCTTAAGAGATGGCTGTCAATGGTGATGAAAATCAAGCTCAATATTAGGAGCAACTAATAATTTTGCAAGTGTAGGATGAAGAGTTATGTAAATGATTTTAAAATCAAAAGTACAAATTTATGCTTTCTAAATGATATTTATGCCCATTGACAAATACCATTCACGGTTTTGATCAGAGAAGCTTCTCTTTGGACAGCGGCAAATAGAGACTCACAGTTATTCAGAGTGTTGAGAATAAGTGAGCACTCAGTTCTAAACAGGACATTTATATCACCCCCCAGGGCCCGTCAGCCTCACAGAACACTATTCAGATTGGATAGGAAAAATGCACAAGCTGGATTACAAGGTGAAGGACTGAGAAATGCTACCTTCTGGGCAGGACAGCCATTGGAAGCTATTCTCACAACCGTGGATTTGCCTGCCCTGAGTCTGTGTAACTTGTCAGTTGTCAGTCATGGATAGAGAACTGAGTCACAGGGCTATAACCGTCCCTGGGGTATTACTGGCTCCTTAGCGATATTAGCGGAGAGGGAGATTGCTGCCTTCAGTTGTGTTCCCACAGGTGAGACTACCAGACTTTAGTGATAGTTCCACACCCACGGTACACAGCCCTGGCTAAACTCAGTGGGTCACAAAACAAAAAGACGTGGATGTGGAAAAGAGACTTTTAGGGAGAGGTGGAATGACAGGGATGGGAGGGAGACATAAGATAAAAGGATGAAGTAAGAAGGATCAGATACATACAAGCAGCGTGAAACTACTGAAGAACATATTTAATAAATTAAATAGTACAGGTTTAGATTTGCCTTCTATTAAGGGCACTGACGTAGATTCAGTCATCCTGGCTGAGTAACCTGTCACAAACTGCTAGATCTTTGGAACATCAAATTTCCCATCTAGCAAATGGGAGAATAATTTCTATATTATACGTTAAGGACGAAGGAAAGAGTATCTGTGCTGACAAACCAGGTCAAGACGGAGCTGCATGGCTGCCAATTCAGTGCTCCTGTGCTCCACCAGCAGCAGCCAGCGCTGCCACTGCCCAGACCATGAATGCCCACATGTCCAGGACAGCATTCTATTTTTCA